CCCCCTCACAGTCTAACAAACTGCGCACAAAGACCCTGAGAAACACCCGCAACCCTGCGTGGACTGAGACACTCACCTACCACGGCCTGACAGATGAGGACATGCAGCGTAAGACCCTCAGGTGGATACTGTACCTCAGACACTAAATCACTCACTTGGCTGCAACGGCCCTGTACTCATGTTTCAAACTTAATCCTCCCGTAGTTGACTGTATTAAAAGGTACAACAGGTCTGTATGATTAAGATTCACTTTTGATTTCCACAGGCTGTCTGTCTGTGATGAAGACAAGTTCGGGCATAATGAGTTTATTGGGGAAACCCGAGTGGCGCTGAAGAAACTGAAGATGAACCAGAAGAAAAACTTCAACGTGTGCCTCGAGAGGGTTGTCCCTGTGAGTGAAACTCAATTACATTCAAACAATGCTTTGTTCTCCTTGTCTGAATTTCTTATTGACCCGCTGTAATCTCGTTCGCCCTCGCAGACGAAGAGAACTGCAACAGCTGGTGGAGCCAGGGGCATCGCTCTCTACGAAGATGAGGCAATGCTTTTATTTCCAAGCACGTCTAAACATGACAGATATCCCCAGAAGTTCCCACAAATCTTATCATGGATAACACTGAGCTATTTTTTCTACCCCTTTTGCTCTCTTAGCCGGGGAAAGAAGGCGGGGAGGTGGAGGAGCGCGGCCGCATTCTGATGTCGCTCATGTACAACACCCAGACAAACCGTCTCGTCGTGGGCGTCGTGCGCTGCGTTCACCTGGCTGCCATGGATGCTAATGGCTACTCTGACCCATATGTCAAAATGTAGGTAGAGCAGGATGACAAGCACATTTAGACTGCAAATGCATGACCCTGGAAAATAAACTAACTTCTATACAATTCACAGATGTCTGAAACCTGACATGGGGAAGAAGGCCAAGTGCAAAACACAAATCAAGAAGAGGACTTTAAACCCAGAGTTTAATGAGGTTTGTAAGAGAGTTCAAGGTGAACATTACATTAAATACACCAGTAATTTTTGTTGCAACTATTTCAGAAATGTTTCAATTACATAGTCTTATCTTATCATTACTCTCTCATATGTTTCTGTAAATACATGCGCATAAGCTATAAGTAAAAAAGGAAAACAGTACAAAACAAAATAATACTTACATAAAGAAAGAAAAATCCAAACAATCAAAAAACAACAACGCAGAGATAGACTGGAATAAAGACTTCATCACATTCATTGATCTCCTTTAGATAAAAGTGGTGGGGAGGCTATTTAGTCCATTATTTACACCCTTAAAGGTCCAGTGTGTAACATTTAGGGCTAAGTGTTACATTGAATATATTCATAACTATGTTTTCATTAGCACTTGAAAATATGAATCGTGACGTTTTTGGTTCCTTAGAACGAAACGTTTTATCTACACTGCAGGTCGCCTTCCATGGAGGCCGCCTTGTTGAACCGCCGTGTTTCTACAGTAACCCAGAATGGCCAAACCAAACACTGTCTCTAGATACAGACAATTCTCTTGTGTTTTGTGGCCACCGTAGTTTCTTCTCTGTGCTTGGAGGGGAAGAGTTAAGCGAGGGAGATGCAATCTGCAGCGACACAATAACTACCACAACTAAACAATTCATAAAATGAAATAGTTTGATTCGATGGCACTAAGATATTGTATCCATTTAGCCCAATATGAAATATGAATATGAAATGTGCTCACTTGTAGGCTTAGAGAAAAGGTTAATTTTCTTCCCAATTAATTTTACATTTATTTTATAGTTTTCTTACTTGCTGCCAGGATTATCTTAAACAATTATTTATGTCTTAGTAAGTAAAAATGAACTCATCCCAAAATTTGCTTATCTAATGTCTCAATCAAATTTCAGGAATTCAGCTATGACATCAAACACAGTGAACTGGCCAAGAAGACCTTAGATATCTCCGTGTGGGATTACGATATCGGGAAGTCCAACGACTACATCGGTAAATATTTAATTAAGCATCGCCGCTTTTAGGAGATAAAACTGAAATTCTCACCTGCTCACCACCTGCCTTTCACACCTCACTTCCTTCCTGACAGGTGGGTGTCAGCTGGGTATCACTGCCAAAGGAGAGCGGCTGAAGCACTGGTATGAGTGTTTGAAGAACAAGGACAAGAAGATTGAGCGCTGGCACACCTTGTATAACGAGAATCACGTTGCTAGTGATTAACCACTCCCCCGTGCAGCATGAGTTAAAACCTCCCCTTCAGACTTGGTTTGCATTCACATCCTAATGCACTTTTTAAAAGAAACCCATTTTATTGTTTTATCTATACTTTATCACACAGACTTACTCACCTCCTTTTCCCTGATGTAGTATCTGTAGTATATCTCTTCTTTCCTGTCCTCTTATTAACAATTTCTCTGCCTGTGCTGACACTTAATCTGCCTCTGGGACAAATCATGGCCTAAACGAATTAGAGATTTCACTAGACATCTGTCAACAAACAGATGCACAAGGACCATCATGCCTGTCAGTGGTGTTATGTAGTGTGCTTAACATTCTTTGCTAGAGAAAATGAAGTTTGAATTGCACTGGCACAGGACGAGAAAAGCAATATGTTAAGGCATCTGAGGTCAAAACTATCATTAAAATCCTCGACGGAGCTCATGCCTGAAATTCATTAGACTGTCAGGGTATTTTAGTTTTATTTTCTTGTGTGATTACATCATGCTGTAGTGTAACACTTGAACTGTATAAGCATGCCAAGCCACAGACAGAAGAAAACATGCAGCTGCGCCTTCAAATATTTCAACTGTGCCCACTGTCCTGAACATAATGTATATTTCCATGAAGAAATGTTTACATACTGATACATTGCTCAGGTTAGGATAGACATCTGATGTGCAGATGATTCATAAGTCAGTGGAACATGAGCTAGATGAATCTTTCAACAGTTGCTGTTAATTTGTGATTTAAAATTATAGCACACCTAGTTAAACATTAGGAGTTTTTATGTATGGATAGTCAAGCTGTGAATTTTGATTTGTGGGAAGTATTAACTGTGATTAGAGAAACTGAACAGGTTTTTTTTTTGTTAGTTACGGTGAGAATTGGCAGGAAAAAAAGATTTTCCTCCTGCTACCTCGACTCTTCTGAAGCTTGTGGTTCACTCTGACACCTCAGAGGTTTTCTAGTGTTTACACTGAATGCACACGGCCAGGTCTCTTGCAGGTCCCCCGAATAAAATGTGGCTGCTCCACTTAAGCAGAGACAAGGTGGAACAGCTTATGTCATAAGTATGTGCAGCTTTACCTGCATGCACTGTGCTCGTGACTCTGGTGTGCCTGGGGCAGTTGTGGCCCGCTTTTACCCCAACGCACCCTTTGCACAAAGCAGGGCTCTTTCCCCTCTGCCACGCCCCAATCATTCAAGGCTTTAGTGTGTGTTTGTTCACTAATCACAGCAAACCAAGGAAAGCACACCTTACAAAGTGGAATGACCTCAATTTATACAGCTGTTTGCAAGTTATTCCAATGTCAAAACAAAGACGAAAACAAAAAATCCTATGCATGAAATGTCTTGTGGTTCAAGATATATATACTTTGTAAGAAATTAATGCTATTGTAATTCCATTAATGTTTACACTTCTTCCCCATAACATTCCTGTTAATACTTTATATACAAGAGGCCATATTCTGCATGACTATGGTGGCTATGGTGTAATCTGAATAAACTGGTCTGATAGCATCCACAGGATAGACTGATAATCAACTGAGCACATCAACAAAAAACTATTCAACTCTATCAGTAGCAGATATTGAGATGAATCTGTACATACGCAATCAAATCAGTGATTCAGACACCCACCTGTAGCATCACACACTATCCTATGTTGTGGTATTTCAGCTACAGCGATCACCAGATGATGATCAACATGAATTATAATCAATAGGGTTCTTTTTTTTTTTTTTTTCCAAAACAGGCTTCTCTAAGCTAAACCCATAGCTGTCTTCTACTTGATTCTGCCAGTTCAGTGGAATGTTTCTTGGTTTATCTCTGTATTTGTACATAGATAGTGCATGCTCTGGAAATATGTATGTTTGCAAATAACTTTGCATGTAAAGATTTTGCAGAGAGTTTACACAGATCAATAAAATCTAATGAAAACTGACAAGCTCCGTGTGTGTGAGGACTTGTTAGAGTCGAGGTATGATCATCACAGAAGATGAAATCAGTGCCAGCATAAGCATTGACTATTCTCCCTGGCTATACAATCATACACACTATAAACACACAAAACAGCTTGTCTCATTAAATCAAGTACATCATTTTCAACAAACCTTAAACCACACAGACAATTACAAATCAATCACAATCCCTCAGGAATTCATGGAAACCTTTATTTCTTCATTGATACAAGTAAATAGTAGTTCTTATGAAACACAAATCATTGTATGAAGGAGCTTCTTAAATCATCAATTCATCTAATTCCAAGAAATAGGATATTAAAATACCTTTCACAATCTCTGCTGAGGAGGTCTTCTTTAACCCAGGTTTTATTAACTGAGCAAAAACAGCAATCTAATAAAACTAGTAATATGTTTGATGTTATTATAATGTTGATTGCGCTTTTTAAAATTGCATAGCCACTGTAAGTCTGAATCTATAGATCTATAATATCTAGAACTTTTAGTTTATTTAGCCACACCTTTTTGCCCATGGTTGTCCCATCTCTCAACACCAGCCGGAAACTCCAACAGGTTGAGACAGGTCTGCAGCTTTATTACCAAATCCTGGGGGAGATGCAGGTAATTTAAAATTACAGGTTGATAAAATGCACAGAATCAGATACACACACTCTGAGATGGGCTGGGCACTGATTAGTTTGTTTTAACTGTTTCTGACTTTCAAAATCTTAGACAATGCCGGTCAGGCCACACACCCACACACCCATACAAACCGGCAAAACTAAGGAGTGTCGTATTTCTGACGAGCCTCCATAAAGGCAGACCAATAAGAAAACCGTTCACCCGAGAGGCACACATGCCATCCTCAAGCAGAGACAGACACATTTAAACCAGCTGGTGCAGAAACACACAGATGCTTCAATGAATCAGGAGTAAATTCGCCCATTCAGACACTAATTTAACCCTTCAACTTTAACTGGCTTGATTATACATCCGCTCCACAGTGAGATGCAAAGCAGATACTTTCTACAACTTCTTTTCGCCTTATCATGGCTCATTGTATCAATGGCACGAGATGTGATCGGATCAGGTCACTCCTGTCTCACATCGAGTCCTGCAGACGACGGACTGACCCGCGTCACGTTTCTGCGAGAGGACGCACCCGGCGCGCACTCCCTGTACCTCAGCCTGTGGTCCGAAGACATGCGCCCGGTAACCTGCGAAGTGAATACCGACCCACTGGTCACGGAAAGATACCTTGGCCTTTGCGGCAGAAGCGGCACGCAGGGTGGAGAAATCCCCCAGAGGTTTAATATCAGCATGCTGTTGGCTCCGGATGCGCCCTGCGCGCTCGTTTCCTCCAGCGCGCCAGAGTTGACCAGGCGCAGAAGAAGTGATGGGACAGAGGCAAAATCTCGGAGGAAACGGTCTTGGATATTTCCTGGGACGCTGTGGTGCGGCACTGGAAGCAAAGCAGTCGGATACGACCAGTTAGGTGAGATTGATTAACTAAAATATTATTTTGTTGTGCTTTTTTGCATCTTTTCTAACCGCTATAGGACGCTTTAACACCCTTTCATGCATAGCCATTGTAGATGGCACTATAGGAAGTCTGGGCCCTCTGAAAGAATGTAAAATACAGACCTAAGGGGGGGTTTTAGGGGCCCTCTCCAGCTGCAACGTTACATCCCTAGACATACTGTAGATCAATAGGAGATACAATTATTAGAAGGTTTTTATTGCACATTTATCATACAGTAACTATGCACTCCACTGCAGTGAGTACAATACTGCAGACCCCATAAGCACATTAGAAAAATATCACTCACATTTTACATGAGATAAAACCAGTAATCCATGTGACATTATATAGTAGATAGAAATTTATAGAGAGAACCTTTATTAAAATGTTTTATTGAATTTAATTCAATTGAACTGGACTGTGTTGATATAAAATATAACATCAGACATTTTGGGGATATTATTGCAATAATGTTAAATTAAGTGGAGCTTATGGCTACAGTCAGTTATTGGACACAATTCAAGAGGAATGAGAATGAAGTTAAATTTATAGCATGAGAAAGTTTGTTGGACATTTATTCGGTAGTCACATCAGAAAGATGTGCCTCAGTAGGTTCTTTGAATTAAAGATCTTGGTTTTACAACCCATACATTTAAAACTGTCTTTGAAGCTTTTTTATTTTAAATTAGAGTAATTTCTGCATAAAGACTTGCTTTCATGCAAACTGCCCTTTGATCCTTTGATATGTGACTGAATTCAAACCTTGTCGTCCTGCACAGGCATGTTTGAGAGTACGGATAGATGCTGCCGAGAGCACGACCACTGCCTTCATGTCATCCCAGCTTTCACTAGGAATTATGGAGTCTTCAACTCCAAATTCTTCACCGTCTCACACTGTGACTGTGACCAAAGGTGAGCCTCAGCATTCGCACCCTGGGGATCCAACACTGAGTCGGGATTCCAAGTATTTACCGACTCTAGGGAAACTCTTGCAACCAGTAACGCACCCCCCCCCTTGATCTGTCCCCGTAATGCTCTGGCTGTAGCACGGACGATCAAGTAAGGACAGACCTGCTCCAAAGGGTGAATGTGTGTGTGTGTGAGTGTTGAAGGAAGTTTAAACCTTACACCTCCTGTTAATGAAAGCATGCTCCTCTCTGGAATGCTATAAATGTATTATTACGCCAATAAAAAAGTGATTTAAGTAGAAGAACTTGGGGCCAAATCATATGATAGAACTATTCATCCAGGAGAAATAAATACGCAACTGCAATCAGCTCTCCAGATACATTTAATGTCAAGAGCGAACACGCTGCTCTCTATTTTGGTGTCTGCAGGGCATTCCATTGCCACTGCATTATCTAGTGCTGACGGGTGCATGTGTAATATGTTCGCCCTTTAAACTCTTGGTGACTGAAAAACATTTTAAGAATTCACCTCTGAGCTAAAACTTTATCTGTCCTTATAAACTGTTTGGACTGCCCAAAATGTTTAGACAAAACCAGGCAGCATTCAACCCACCACGTATGTGATTGTTTTGACTGGACTGTCGCTTGGCCTTGGCTTGTTCTTTTCCTGCCTCTCACCAGGTTTCGGCAGTGCCTCATTGGTGCGAATGATACCATCGCCAGTATGGTGGGTTACAGCTTCTTCAGCATCCTGCAGGTTCCCTGCTTTGAGCTCAAAGAGCAGAGGCGATGCACTGAGATGTACTGGTGGGGAATGTGAGTAATGTAATAAGTAAACAGTATAAGTGCAGACCATAAAACGAGACTTTAGTTCAGTGGAAAGTGCAGATATGGATACATGGGAAGCTAGATCAGCAGGTGTGACACTGCGGCTTGTAATAACATGCCTGTAACTCTGCCAAACCGCGTAAAATCATGGAAGGCACCGCGCCACTTCTACAACTCCATTCTGTTTCCACAACTTTATCTATTAAGTTACTAACAAATGCATACAAACAAGAAGTGATTAATGGTTAACCTTTACACTGATAGTATTGTGATGACAACTTATACTGTAATAACTATAATTTAAGAGGTGCGTTTCTTCATTTCTAACTGTGCTCCTGTAATTATCTTGCAAGAAAAGTACAAACCACAAGTGCTTGAAATATTTGCAATACAGTACCTCTTTAAAGTTAAATAAATATGCAAGGAATGTTGAAAATAGAGCATAAACAGTTTTTGAAAGAGGCTCTCTTTTTCCATGACTTGGTTTTTAACATGCACGTTTACTCTCTGTAGGTGTAAAGTAGCCAATAACGCGCCATATGCCGTCTTCAAAAGCCCTCTCCCTTTCAACACCACTGATGTTACAAGCCAATCTGGGGACAACGCTAATAACAACAAGTTAAAAAGTAGTATGGGGCAGCGTGTAACCGAAAGCCCCGTGATGAGCACAGAGTCACCCAAACATGAACACAGATGTAGTTACAAAGACTCGCCCAGAGGAGACATTTTCTACCGCAGAAGGACAAAGGGGAAAGGATGTAAAAGACACTGGAAACTGTATACAGCAGCCACCCAGATTCCCCCAACGTCAAGGGCTCACGCCACTACTCCTTCAAATGAGACCAGTCTTGTACATGCTTCTAAAAGTAGTGCATCGATGTCAAATAAAAAGAGAGCTGGAAGAAAGAAGAACAACAGAAAGGGCCTGTCAGCTCGACCCACACAGAGAAGCCACGTTCCACCACGGGTGAGCACAAGCTCTATTCCACAAAATCTGACAACAGAGGAGCCAACACTTCAACTACACCTACCAACAGCCATCACCGCCGTGACCAAAACCACCAAAAGGCGTAAAAACGTTCCCAAAAAAGGTCACTGTTGTGGATTCAGGATGCCTCTGAGGGGCGACACTTTTCAGCCTCATTGTAAAAGTTGTCTAGAGCGAAACATGACAACTGTTACCCCCTCAATAACCACATCTGGATTACCGATCAAAGTGACATCACTTGATACGCTCAAGCTAAAAAAGACCAAAAAAAAACCATCCAAACAAGACACGCTGAAACCACTCTGGAGTACAACTACTTCTGCAGCGCCGGCCACAAGACGACTAAAGACAGCAGCCGCCATTCAGAAGGTCGGCAAGCCACAAAAGCAGTCCCATCTACTACGGAATAACACAAGCCAGGAGCCCATGGGTAGAACCAAAGCCACAAACACACACACAGACCGAGGCCTGAAACCAAATGTTGCACTGCATAAAGGTGACAGGTGAGTGTATGCGGCTGCTGACCACATCACCTCTGGCGGGGCCCTTTGCAACCTAAAAGGTCCCTCTTCAGTATCTAAATGTAATGTTGACGTCCCATTAAGCACTTAGTACCATTTGAGATGAAACTGTTTAAATCCATCGAAATGAGATTTATAATTTGAATTCCGCATTTAATTATAAATGAAAAATGTAAAACACTATGTATTCATGAATTACAAACATTTTATAAATGACAAAAAGAGTAAAATATCACAATTAAAACTACTTATTTATTATTATTAATAGTATTATCAAGTGAGCAATGCTGCCACTGTGGAAAGGTGACGATAAGGGCTCTAGTTATGCCCCCTACAGGTGATCATAGTGTTATGTGTAACATCAGTAGGCGACTAAATTCCTCAGTTACCTAAAGAAATGTGGATGCACTAAGATTATTTGCGACATAACCTGTGTTTATTTTTGCTACTGCAGACAGCCGGCTCTTGTGTGGAAGCCTCAAACATCTGGACGAATGTAAATACAAAATCCCTCCTTTGGAGAAGAAGTACGATCTGCAGAACATGGAGTCAAAGACTGCCTACCACTGTGACTGCACCAGCCGGTAACAGCATTACTGTCCCCATTTCCCCTCATATTTGTATATTTGCATATGCACCTATGCAAGACTATTTTCTTTTCAGAATTTATAATCATTCAAATACATGCCAGGGGCCTGTTTCACAAACAATGACACCTGCAGAACTGCACTGAGTAGCAGCCTGGAACATTATCTAGTATCTATCTATTAGGCTCTGTGTTTTACTCAGACAAATTGTTCTTATAACTTATTAGACAGCCCTCTGTTCTTCTGCTCCACTGCTGTAAAACCAGGGTAGATATAGAACATTTATTTAATATTTTGACAGTTTCAGAACATTTAAATAAAATTCCAACTTCAACTTCCCTGTGTTTTGGCCACAATACCAGTAGCTCAACATAGCATTATTCTCACAAACATAGTCCACTGAGACCTTGCACAGTTTTTGAAGCGGTCCAGACTAAAAGCTATTTCCCCAGTAATCCATAATGACTGCGTTTTGCATTCCTGAGCTACTTCAAGATTCGACCCGCAGGTTGCAGTGAGATGAAGTAACCACAGCAACTTTGAGCGAAATGAGAAGTCATGTAGAAGGTCTAAGTGGAGCACAGGATGTTTTTTTCTTTCTTTTGTTAAGGATCTTAGTGTGGTGGCGCCATTGGAATTAGTTATAAAGCTGTTTCCAGCAGTGTCCAGTTTCTACATCGATACAGGGAGTACAGAGTAATAATAAACTGCAGGTATAGTTGCCAAAAATAAATAAATAGGACCAGGGTCATAAAATAACTGAAATTTCATATATAACTTTAACATTAACGATGACTTTGTTCAATCAAGTGTCCAAGTAAGCTGTGACAGTGAACCAGTATGCCCAGTAAGCCTTTTCTCACACCCAATATTTTGACATGTCACAGCAGCAAGAGCTGCAGTTCAATGGCATGACTTATGGGAACCGTTGAAGGGTGGGTTCATCATTTTGTTGGTTTGTATTATAATCTGGTGCCCACACGAACAGTAAAACAGGTTTAGCTTGCTGTAATCATTCCTCTTGTTCGTACTGGCCACTAAGACATCTCTTCCCAATGTGCTTTCAATGTAAGTGATGGTGCGAGGAATGATTACAGCAAGCAAGACCTGTTTTATTGTTCATATTGGGACCTACCTACTAGTGTGTAAACTGTTTAAATGGAACTGAGTCATGAAACAAGTAACACTTCTCTGCTGCCCAATGACAGTTTTAATTTAGATGGTGAAACAGCTTAGTCAGGATTATGATTAGCGTGCTAGAGTGCACTTCATTACGTTTTCTCCACTGAAACGGCAAAGGGCAATTTATCATGTTTTGTCCACTGCTGCTACAGTATGACAGGTCAGAATGGGTGGTTAAAATAGGGCAATATGTGCCACGTAATGCCAAAAAAAGAGAGAATAACATCAACAAACTGAAGCTACCAATTCATCCATCATTGATATTATTAATTACATCTGTGTTTTTCCTTTTATAAGATGTCTGCTGTGAAAAACGCATTATACGATTTTTCTGATTACGGATTGTGACTGACTGTATGCAACACTCACACTTACAGCAGCACATGTATGGTGAGATTACAGCACGTTATAAGAAAGGATGAAGGCCTGCCCCCACAGGCAGCTTTCTCTTTCTTTGTCTTCGTCTCTCTGAGTCACTCACAAATGCGTGTACATCACACTCTATTGTTTTATTCCTGCTGTGTTTCCCACTTGATTTTCTGTACGTGAGAATGTAAATGGCCTCTGCTTGTCTGTCTGTCAATTTTACAGCTTGGCTGTTCAGATCGAAAGCTTCAAGCAACCCAGTACTCTCCCCACGCTACTGATGGATTTCGTCTCTCAGTACTGCTTCAAACTGCCAGAGGAGAAAAAGTGCCACAGCAGAAAAAGGTTTTAAGCTCTGATATGCTCATTCATGTTAATCTCCAGACAACTTTTAGTTACAGAAGTGCCAGACTCCTAATGTGTTAACTCAGTTTGCTTGTGTAACAGCTTATTCAGTTGGGTTTCTGTTTCTGATATGTTTTTATATGTTTCTTTTCTAGCTGTTCTAGAGGCTTCAGTAAAGCTTCTGACCTACTTCGAGCCCTTAAGAAGATAGAGGAAAAAGACACTGCTTGGGTGCGAAATTCAGTCAATGACAGAAAAAGAGGGATTCCTGTTCGTCTTTATAAGCGATGCCTAAGGCTGGAAAGAGGAGCTGATATTATGGCACAACTCACACGATTATAGACTAAGCTTCTATGAGCAGCAACAATGAATTTCATGAGCTTTACATTTCATGCAGCGTTTTCTGTTTCGCTCTGAGGCTGTAAAATGGCAGCAAATTGAAAATATTCAAGTACTCAAACCCTCGAACGTTGTAATATATTAGTAAGTAGGCCAAAGATAAAAACATATTCATAAAGAACTGTAATAGAAAACTGCAAACCATTAGACTGTGCATTGGAAATTTAATAAAATCATTTATTTTTTGTTTCTGTTTGTATCTAGTAATTGATTTAAAATCATGTTTCATTAATGAACACAAGGTGGCATTCTACTATCTGCACTGAATATTGATTAAGAAAGGAAAATAATTAGATCTACTCCACGCTGCTTTCCAAAACAACTCACACAGCCTGCCAGTTATCATAATGAATAATTAAAGTTTACAAATATAGGGATGATTATTCATTATTGGAAACAAACATTTGCTTGTTATAGCTTTTATTGTAGTGTGATCTTTACCTACCTCTTATTTTGTAATACACAGATGAATCCGGTTCAATGTGCCTGCCCTGTGCCACTTTATGTCATAAACTTACAGTGTGTTGACCCAAAGATCCATTTTCATTTAACTATACACTGATTATATCTTTTCCTTCCCCAAAAATGCGACCAGGGTCAGATTTTAGGAAATAGGGGAACCTATTCATTCACTTGTTTTGTTTTTCTTTTACCTCCTAATTCATTTTTATAAAATTATAATAGCCGCATAGGCTAGAAAACCTCTGGATTTTCATGCTCCTCATTGCACCTTACAATTTAGTCTGGCATTAAAAAAAGGCTACATTAAATCTTACAAAAATATATGTCAAGGATGAGGTGCAAGACTTATCTCCACTGTGGTCTCATGTACAGTAAATATGGTGACTCCTAACATCCACCTGACCTTGAATTTGTTGTATAAAATAACCTCTAAATCTGTCTGCGGTTCCCAACCTTTTTGGTGTCAAGGACCCGCAAACTGACTCACTGATGGGCCGCAGACCTGCATTTGATAAGATGAACTCTCAAGGCTCTCTACCTGATAAGATCTACTTATTCTATAACTGTCTGCACTGTGGCACATTAACAGTGAAGAAGAGTGTGAAACGTGGGGGTCGGGACTCCCACTAGGTGTTGCCAAAGCTTCATGAGGGGTCATATCTCAGCATTTGTTTGACTTCTGTGAAGTAAAGTAAATTGTCTAATAGAACAATGGCCAAGCAACAGGGACAAGAAAACACAGAATTTGTCTTTTAAGTCTGTATGATTGTTAAAATGATTAAATAATACTGACAGGGTACTCTGCTCAAAATGAATCCAAATCACTTCTTGCGTTCACTGAGTTCAATATTTGGGTTCATTGTACAGTTCTGAATGTAAATATCCATAAAATATGTCACTTAATAAGCGTTTGTCATATTTTTTGTTTACTAAATGACAGAAAAGAGGTCCCTTTAGGGCAAAAGGTTGGGAACCACTGTTTACTCAATTAAATAATAGGCAAGTGAAATGAAAATAAATTTAAATATTTTTCTGGGGACCCCCTCAAGGACCCATAGGGCTCCCCGGACCCCTCTAAACCAAACAAAAACCGCCCCTTGTCTTATCATCCCAGTAATAAAACTGTTGTTGTTAAAGACACCAACATCATGAATCCTTGACAGCTCTCTCATCCTGGGCCGCGGTGCATGCTGGGAGCGGCTCGTTGGCCTTGGAAACATGGCGTCTCTCTGACAGCTGCGAGACTCTCATTATCTCCTACCAGCCGCTGACACACCGGGCCGGGCCGCAAAGCGGGCGGACTCTAACTGTGAACCGACCGCAGCACGGATGCAGCCCGTCGTCCTGAACAGCCTGTCGTTGTAACGGCGCGGGTGCAATAGCGGGTTTTTTTAGCACGGGTGTGCACGCCCACTCTGCTCGGTGGACGTTATAACGATTTAACCCGCACGGTGAGTTAGCCCCGCGTCCAGCTAACCGAGCCAGACAGAAAGCGGGCTACTGTTAGCACGGCACGACCACCCATGTTACGTGAAGAGGGAGCTGCCACTACGGTCTGTCGCACACGTTAGGGAGGGCACTAAAGAGCCCGCGGAGGGAGACACCATCGTCGGATAAAAAACGGCGACAGCAAAACGGCTTGGTTGTGTTATTGTAGCTCGCTTAGCAGGCTGGCTAGGGCGTTTCTGTTCACTCTGTCACTGAATTTTTAATGTTCGACCCCTTTGGCATCACTGTCGGAGGAGAGAGCGATGGGCTCCGGGGCTGTAGATTCGTCCCAGTGGCTTTCGGTGAAGGAGGAGACCATTTTCCTCCACGACGGACTCATTCGGGTCACAGATCTGGCCGAACTGCCCAGTGAAATTGGAGTATCGGAGCAAGGGGACACCGAGCAAGAGGTGGGTGAAACACACACACACAGAGACACACACAGGCGTAAATAAAGGTTTATATACATATAAATCCATATAAATGTAGAAACACAGTCTATTTGTTTGTTTTAATGTTTAATTGTGGTGTCACTGTGAGCTGTAACGCCGCCCTCCGCTGATAACGGTTGCGCTAACGTTTGCAAGTTTCCTGCCCCTGTACGTGTTATTGACCCGCTGTCAAGGAAGCAGCCGTTGGTAGCTCACTTCCTGTCAGTTCCTTCAAAATAAAGCTCACGTAACCCCCGGGGTTAACTGCAATGTGTGTAATTTAGGTTACTAGGTTGTTGTTGTTGTTGTTTTTTTTTTTTGCTATGTATGTAATTCAAATAATACATCATGAGATACTTTAAGTTACCACTGCGCCTCAGGGTATCAAGTTGCACAGCTTCAATTTTATTAGAAGCTTTTCCTGTGCAGGAACCTTCTCATATTGCACCAACTGTAAACATTTATTTTTAGGGGCTAAGAATGGCAGTGTTTTCTGTGACAGCCTAGGTTTTTATGTAACTTAATAATCCACTTACTTTTTATTTTTTTAAAAGATGGTAGCACACGTGGTGGAGCAGCTACACCACTTAATATATATATATATATATATAGTGTTTTATAATCACTGTCAGGAGTAGCATACTTAACAGTGACTCTCAACACAAACAAGCAATGTTGTCTCAGATGCTTGATGTAAAAACAGTATGTTTTTTACGTAGCGTTTAGGTTTAATGTGCCATAACAATGAGTGCGGCAAATGTTTTTAATCTAGAAGGTAGGCTTTTATTTTGAAGGTTACATCTGGAAACCGGATGTGTGTGTGTTATTAGGCTGCGGAGACTTTACAGTGATGCAGATGGAAACTTCGACCTCACAACAATGTTATATCCTCGATATTTCGGTACTCTACCATGTAATAAAGGTAGAAATACTTGTATTCAGCAGTCTGTAGAGTACATTTGCCCCAGTATTCATGTCACATGTTCCCGGGCTTGCCTCTAATATCTGGTTGGTCGTACAAAAGGATAAATATTAGACAATGATAGACAGTGACTGGAATTAATGACACCTTATCTCACTATTGTCATTTAGGTTAGCATTAATATTTTAACCAATTCTTATTAAATAACATGTAGTTCGTCCAACACATCCATGAAAGTCATGTATCTAACTTTACCTTTACAAGACTTCAGGTCAGTTATCCACTTGGTTACACTTTATAGAAAAAACATAGAAATATATGAAAACATGTCTAATGTTTTGTGTCTGTTGAATATTAAAGATAAAGGTATGTTTGCAAATTTGCGGCTTAGACACACAAAGGTCTTTTTGAAATAATAATTTAGGAAATATATATATATATCATATGCATATGCCAACAGATGGATTTGTAGTCAAGCTTATAGCAATGTGATGGGAGAAATTGCATTTTGTCACAGTTCCACACTTCATAGTGGGAAATGTGTTTGACACAGGGAGTATGCTGAGATTGGTGCAAGGCTTTTGTGCTCCTCAACAGACACTGCCTGCTTGATTAAACTTTTACAATGTACAGTGTGGTGCATTCAGCTTGTTGTATTACCACAGCATAACCTATTGACCAAGTTTGTAACCGGCGCTATAAATGACCAGTTTATTATTTGTCTTTCTCCAGTCCAGTACCACATTATATGCAGTACTGCTATTAGTACCTTAATCAGGAATTTATTATGTCATTAGCGTTAGTAGTTCTAGTGATAGAAACACAACAGCTGCAGAATCCTCCTTAACCATTCAGCAATCAGCCACATGGCGTTTATTTTGCCTGATAAAAGTATTCAAGCATATGTTCAATCAGCAGCTCAGCAGATGACAAACCACTGGTTAATTAATGAATGTGAACGGACAGCTTTCAATTTGACCACTCACCCTTTTTTGTTTTTTCATTTTGTTAAGCTCAACAACAGACATGTGGAGACACACTGACTTTTTGTTTAAGCCGCTCTCTCGAACAAGAACAAACAATGTGGTCATACTGGTAAAGGCATGTTAACTGACAGCTGGACTTTTCACTTGGGGAAACACACAAGATGTTGTTGTATTAATTAAAGGCTGTTGCATACTTTTAACATTGGTGCAAACTTTGGCAGGCAATATTTTAACAGTGTCTATCATGGTGACCTAAAATAAGGTGCATGACATTGTTATCACATTGGACGTATGGACATTTAATGTAATCAAAGTTAAAACTTCCACATGCATTTGACACATAGTATTAAATATAAACTATGGTTACATTATCCTCAGGATAATTTAACCTGAGACTCATTAAGCTGACATGTTAATTAAAGCTTTTTGGAAATGAGATGGTGTAGGTACAAATATAGAATATCTTGTACAAAACAAATTATGTTTAATATTATCTTAAATGTATATTGTACATTTAAAGCAAAGCTGTAATAGAGCAGCCATGTTTGTTTGTGTCAGCCTCCTGTTTATGATAGTAGCTCATACCAACACAGACCCATCTTCTTATTCTAGGTTATATTCTGATTCTTTACATTTCTGGTCCACCTCGGCGACTGACTGGGTCATTCGGTGCTGTTTTCGTAGGCGTTGTGATGCTGACTATTTTTATCCGCTTACAGCAGTGTTTTGCAGAGCAAGGTGGAGAAGGCCCAGCATCCAGTTAAGGAGTGTTACTGTAACATTAGTAGCATTTCTGAAATTCAATCAATACAAATTGTGCCTGCTAAATGGTATAATGGATTTTTTTTTTCTTGTCCATGATTCGTGGGCCAGAGTGTAATCAATATCTGAAATGCTGCCTAAGTGCACATGAAGCACATTGTTTCACTTGTGATAGGCTATCCCAAATGTGCCTTGCTACGTCTGACCATTATTTTATAGACCGAGGAACTGTAGACACCAGGGTTTATTCTGTGGAAGTGATCCGTCGTAGTACCGTGGATATGCTCTAGGTTCTACCAATAAATCATAGGCATGATCGAAATAATTAGCTCAGTTTTAAACTAAAGTGTTGGCTTCATATGAGCCTACAAGATATGGAAACCGCTGTCTTCTCTCACTAAAGTGTATTCTTCTCTAAAAGCTGCTTTGAATGTAAACTTAAATTCTTTCCTGCTTTTCTGTCTTGGCCCACAGATTCTAACATTTGAGACGAAGAACCCGGTAGAGCTTGCTGAGCGTCTACGTGCTGTCTGTGGGAATCAAAGCAATGCTTATGCACGACTGCTGGAGTACCGTCTCAATGCTCTGCGTGGCCTATGGGGGGCCCAGCGGCAGCTGGCCCTGGAGGAGCAGCAGGAGCGAGAGGGAACTGGAGGGGCTGATGAGGAGACCTTGGCCTTGCTCAAAAGACAAGGTCTGCTCCAGCAACCCGAGCAGGCGCCCTTCACCTCCCGTGTCGGTCTGCTGCTGGTCTTCCCCCTTTTACAGTCCCAGACTCGCAGTGACCCGGCGCTCTGCGGTGTCACAGCAGAGGTACTGCTAGCCTGCCTCCGGGACTGCCAGCCGCTCAGCCTCAGCAAAGAGCCCGCTGACTGCCTCAATGGCCTGGAGGGGCTTCTCTGCTCCTGGCTGGAAGATGGTGCCCAGGAGTCAGGCCAACAGCAGGGGCAGGCTCAGCCGCAGATCCTCCACACACACAGACAGAGGGAAAACGCTGCTGCCGCTCTTGTGGCACTTGCCTGTGCCAGGTGAGGCCATACATTCTCTCCCTGCTGTCCCACCTTCGCAATTCTTAGGATCCCTCTGTCGGCTCTTGTAGACAAACCACCACTATTCAGCAAAAGGTTGTTAGAGTTGTAAACACTTTACAGATGGCATATTGTTACTTTATAAGTTTTAACTTCTTAAGATACTTTGTAAGTAACATTACGAGTAAAAAACTTATTGAGAAGTAAGCGCTGTCAAAATACTGTGATTAAACAAGTATCTAGTGAAAGCACTACTGAGTTATGGCTTTAGTAACTCCACTCACAAGCAGGTCAGTTATTCCTGGCAGCCAAAGCTAAAATAAGCACATAACTGACCAACTGATTAGTTTCTCTGCTCTCTCTCAGTGTACATGCTACATGAATAATCATGCCTGATTCAGTGCTCAAAACCTCCCAGCACACTCTATAGCAGTCTCGCTTCAACGTTTGCGCTTCTAGATAAAGAAGTAGCTGAACATTGTGCTGACATTTGTGTATATCCTTAAACAGACTTCCTGCTCTCTGTCAGCTCACTGTCAGCGCAGTGCTCTGATGTTCTGATCTCGAGCTAGTGTTCACAACCAGAGCTTGCTGTGGTCTGAACTGAGCTCTGTTAGCATGAGCTACTGGCGCTGTTTGAAAGTGACACTTGAACAGAAGAAAAGTAAATTGTTTTTGCATCCTGCTGTAGCTTCCTTGGGGGATAGGCAGGGTCCTATGCACAGTATGATGTATGTGTAAAGGAAGGGGTGGTGCTAATTCTTTTCATAACAACTTGTCCTTTGCTCATATGCAAACCCTCCAACAACAGTAACAAAATAAGTTAAACTGTGATCGAATGTAATTGATGTACATTTATGTTTGTCACCTATCCCGCAGAAGAGCAGAATGTGCTCTTTTTTGTTGCATTTGTGGCTGAACTCCGGCTTCTGCTGGTGACAACTGATCTTGACTTGTCAAAACCAGAACTCTCCACTCTTTGTTCAGCCTCTGTTGAGGCTGAGAGCTCTTTGTTGTGGGGAACCATCCAGCCCCGGTGCCTTTTCACCGACAGTGGAAGCTAATTAAAGAGCTATCAGCTTCGCTCCCCCTCACCAATGATGGGGTCGGTTAGTAAATTCCACTGTGTGAGAGGGGTAAGTAAACAAAAAGACTGCGATGTTTACATAGTGAGGTGGAGAAGGGGACAGACACGTGACTCATCTGTCTGTCGCCTGTGGAACATGTAAACACTGAATCAGACATACATTCCTGTACAACACATGGCAGGATTTCCCAGGATACCAGTCTCCCAGTAACACTGTAACACGCTGGTGATACACAGGACCAAGTGTTTTCATCTTTTTAGCTCCCTTGCTGCCATATAGATTTGGCGCCACGTGAGGTGGTTGACCGTAAAATGATGTCATTACTATAAACATCAATAGTATCGATCAATAGTAATCATAATCATCATATTGTTTAGAGTTGCAACGGTTGCTGAAGTAGATTAGTTGTCAATTTTTAAAGGAATTTAATAATTAATTGATTCATTGTTTTTGAGTAATTAAAAAATAATTTTCTCCAAATTCTGTGATTTCTCTGAATATTTCCAGGTTTCTTTAGTCCTCTGTGACAGTAAACTGAATATTTTTTGGGTTGTGGACAAACCAAGACATTTGAGGACGTCAGTTTGGTCTTTGGGAAATAGTAATCAACCCTTTTCACAATTTTCTGACCAAACTAGTGATCAATTAATCGTGAAATGGTCGACAGATTAATAGATAATGCAAATAATCGTGAGTTGCCGCTCTAATATTGTTATATCTGTCCTTTCATTTTCCTTTTTAGCCCAGTTGAAGACATTTTCCAAAGCAGCAGTTAAAAACCTCGCTTCTTTTGAATCAAAGACTGCCAGAACAGCACTTCAGGAGACCTAGCATAGCTCTTCTCCCTGAATATAGAATTAGTTGAACGTATTCAGTTAATAGCTCAGTCTTGGATGAGGCAAAGCTGTAAATGAACACTGCACAAACTTAAGCAGGTTGCTCATTAGACAGTGCAGAGAGAGTCACAGAGAAAAATAAGCTCTCTGCGGCACACTAAAGGAAAAGATTATTTTATTCACATTAAAAAAAGATCGCATTTTAATTCCCAACACATTACATCGGATCCCCTCCATAATTCAAGCCCGTATTATTCCACTTGGAGCTCCAGTTGAACTGTGTAATAATGAACTTTTACTTGTGTTTCATGCTGAGGCCTCTTGACTTATCTGCCAAACTAATTCTCCAGGGGATCTCTGAAGACCTTCATCCACACAGTCCACCTGCTGCAGAAACAAACCGATCTGGGCCAGCTCCCTGTGTCAGATGTCCTGTACAGGTAAGGATAGTACTTCAGTTCAACTGAACAACAGTTATTAGTGACTTTCCCTGTGTGTAACCTCCTCTGTATCCTGCGTCAGACTCCTGCTCCTGGAAGGAGGCCCAGGCTCTCCATCCTGCCTCCTGGGGGGCAAACACAGTGTGTCCTGGGGTTTTGAGGACATGCTGCCCACACCTGATAATTCTGCTGGAGGAGCAGAGAGTAAAGGTAAAAAAACATTTCTATAAACCTTTGTTGTGATCAATTTTACGTTACAATTCTGAATAATAGGTCACAGTAGATGCAGTTCCCTCATGTGGTTGTGATAGATTATATCTTGTACACATCAATGTCGAGTTTTCTGGCTGGCAGGTTGTGAAGAGAGCTGTGCTTGCCATATTTCCCATCATAATACTGCCCCTTTTTTATTTATTTATTCATCTTTAGATTATTTATAATGCCCTTTGCGTGAAATGCATGAATTGTGTGAAATCCAAACCAAAATGGGAGGGGTTGGGTGTCAGTGCCTGGTACAAGGCTCATTTGGCCTCATTTTACTGTACAGTGTAACTTAGGGGAAGAGCTGTGACTGAGACGTTCAGGCGTAAAGCAGATGAGGGGAGAGTGTATTCAGTCTCCAGCAATCCATCTCCTGACCTTGTAGAGTGATCTGGGCATATAGCCATAGAGCAGGTTCGCATATTTACATTTTAATCTGACACTAGATCAGTTTCTCAGATCTCTGGAGGCATCACAATCCTCCAAATGAAAAATTAAGCAAAGCAAACAGATCCCTTGACCTTGTTCAGCATCATTACTCTCTGCTCCCACTCTCCACTTCGTCCACTATCTACTTTCCCATTCCTATAATCTGTCATCGGTCTGTCATTAACCTTATATTGAATTATTTTTGTCCCTGTGTCTTGCAGACACTGACCTAGGGCGATGTCTCGCCACAGACGGACTCTATCTGTATACCACTAACTCCTCTGGGAGAGGACTCAGCAAGCTGGGCTCTGGTTTACACGGCACACTGAGGTAATATGACACTCCTTCCCACCTGCCTTTCTTTATCCACAGCATTCAGAGAATAGCGAACACTAAAAATATCTCTTATCACGTACCCATCCCAATGCAACAATGGTGCTATTTCCTGGAGAACTTTAAACCAATATCTGCAGTACACAGTCACATCCTCCCGTCTTTGATTGATTTGGTTGATTCCTAAAAGGGACCAAAGTGCGTGTGCCCTGCATCTTAATTCCATGCTGTGGTAGCAAATTACTCATTTTGTAAGCAGAAGGCAGCTTCCTTCCATGTGCTAGATGAACAAGTATACTGTTTTTAATTTCCTCCAGTATTGTTTTTGCCATGAAGAGCAATCTGGTTGGGCCAAGCCGTGTAGCGTGTATTGAGAGGGGAGCCCTATTAACTGTGTACACCTCTTACCAACAGTAATATCTTTATAACACAACAATTAATAACCCACAACTAACTCTCATTAACAAGGCAAAAGACCATAGCACACAACCATTTATGAGAATTTGTTTCTTTAGTGCAACTCTTGCAATGACAACTAGATCTGTACACCCATAACAGCTTTATACTAGCACAAAAACTCCTTTCTTGCAGGATACTCTCAATTAATTGTCATTGTCAGCACTGAATATAGTAAACAAGATGCTTAATTTTGTGGAAAGGGATTGGGATTTTAATGTCTGCAGAGAACACTATCAATTTGTAGATGACGTATACATGTGATGTGATCCTCTGTTGGTACTCCAATAATTTTGCATCAGATCCAAGTGTCTCAGCCGGGTCTTCGACAAACAGGTCTACCTTAAAGCAGAAAAACAAACTATTAAAATAGAACACAATACAGAGCACAGAAATAGATGCACTGCTTGTGTTTGTGCAGGGGTTTTGTGTACTGTCGAAATGAAGAGTTGGAGCCTGGCTGGGTGGTGTTCAGCAGCGGTCGTCTCCTCCACCGTCCCTCCTCCTTTGATGCCAAGCCTCATCAGCTGTGCCAGGTCATTGACCCCTTCACCCTGCAGGTATTGTATACTTTCGTTCGACTGTATTTCAGTTTGATAATGAATCGTTCAGTTAATTTGACATTGTAACTCTTGTTGCATTTCATTTTCAGCGTGATTCTCGCATAAATTCTTATTTGTCATTTAAACGCTGTTTTATTATCCCATTAGGCAACATTAAAATGATTTCATCATACAAACAAGGCATGAAGGCTCACAATGGGGCAGCATTTCTCTCTATTCAGGATGCAATAAAGCCACAACGCAAATATAAGAGATGAAGAGGCAGGATAGGGAATAGCCATAAACATACATGACTTCGAAGAAAGACGAGGGCTATGTAAAAGCTATTTTCAGTCTAATTGTGGCCATTAAAATCCAACCAGCGCTTAAAAATTCAGTTGAAATGACAAGCATAGCCATAGCCAAGGCTAATGTTCGTTGTGCCATTTTCAGGTGTGCCAGATTGTGCCCATGCCAGCCCATCACTTCCCCGTGGGCAGCAGCATGACCACGCTGCACCTCTGTTCAGATGGCACCTATCTGTACTGGGTCTGGTCCCCAGCCAGTCTCAATGAGAAGACGCAGAAAGGCCATTCTGTCTTCATGGATGTCTTTCACCTGTCTGTGAGTACTATATGGCCTGGAATATTCAGTAGGTTCAGCTGTATGCAGTTTGTTTATGCCTGTGTTCTGTGTTTGATGTCTTCTCGCCCCCTGTCCATGGTGCAGACACAGACAGGGTTGTGTGTTGCAGACATCTTGCAGGAGAGGGTTATTCTTACTCGCAAGGAAGGCGAGTCTTCAAAGTGCTTGAATGAGCTTCTCTTGAGTCGAATGTCACGCTTCCGGGCCTCCCATTCTGCCACATTGGCTGCTCTAACAGGCTCTGCGATCACCAACACTGTCAAAGAAGAACAGTCTGGTAATTTATCAGCAAGACTCATAAACTTATAGCCATCTAAAAATGATATATGGTGATTAAAATATTTTCTGGTGACATTTCTCCGTTTAACTCTTTTATAGCTGTCAACACTAGCTGTGGGCTCCCTCTGAAGACCCTGAGAAAGACGCCTATGTATGTTTGCGGGACTTATCTAGTGATGCTGGTCTCACCTCCTGGTGTATCTGGGAGCTCTGCCACACGCTCCCTATTTGGGGGTACCAGCAGCCTGTCCTCTCTCAAAAGTAAGAGCACATGGAGACACTGTTGATTTTTTTTTTTCATCATTAGTCCTAAGAGTTTTGCTGTGATTTTGTTTTTTTTTTCAAAAAGTTAAAAGATAATGTGATTAAATGTGAGACACTACAAGCAAAAACATCTATCAGTTAAAACCTTATTCACCTGTTGTGTCTCCCCTTAATACGGCTTGAAGTCCTTTGTAAAGATTGATGATAGTTAGAGTTACATTCTTTGAACACACATAACATTTGAATAGAGACATTTACAAGTTCCGGTAAAAAAAATTGCATTATTTGTGATTGAATCATCAATGAAAGTTTAGTATATGGTCTTATCAGTGATGTGTTTATTCACTAAACCTAACTTTTCATCTTGTGTCAGTTTTAGCCTCCAGCCTGGTTTTTAACCTGGCTGACGGTCAGTTCAGCAGCCGTGCAGACCTCATTGATGCTCCTGGCAGTTCTTTAGGAAGGGGAGCACAGGTGGCAGGACTTGGTAAGCTCAACTTTCTTCCCATTATGCTATTATGTGTTGAACTCACAGTCACACAATGCATTTGCAATTTAAGTGACATTTATTTCTGTAATCTCTGGCTTCATAGGAGCATGTTATGATGCACTGAACAACTTGATCTGGACGTGCTCCAGTGATTACATAGATCAATGGTGCAATCCTGGGAACCAAGCCTTTCATCATGTGTGCCATAGGCTCGGTGTTAGCCATGTCATCAAAGAACCCAAAGGTAGATAAAAAACATATACCGAAACCACCGGATGCTGTTTGTGTGAGGTCAAGTCAGAAATTTGAACATCTGTAAAACTTTCATTTCACAGAGGAAACTGTGGCCACTGGTGAGGTGATCAACCAGCTACTTCATCATGTAGGTGCTATGTGTATCCACCAGCTCAACCTGCTGGCAGCCAGCAGTAACAGCCTGCCCCTGGGGGCCCTACTCGGTAAACAACATCCCATCGAGGCCCGTCACTTTAGCAGCATCTGTGACATTATGGAGAAGGCCATGGTCAATGGAGACACCTGCATCATCCGCTGCATTTTGGTGGTGTTCCAGGTCAGTTTGAGTTGCAGCTGGGGGCAGTTTGGCACAAAATGACCTAGCCATTCTCTGTGTTTTGGAGTAATTTCTTTGTCTGCCCTCTCCAGGTGGTATTTAGGTTTTTTAATCCTCAGTCGGAGCAGAATAGGGAGAGTGTGCGTCGTTCAGGTCTACTCCTGTGGCAGCTACTCATGGCTCCAGTGGATCAGATAGGATCAGAGATTCAGAAAGAGGTGTGCCTGGCCATCAGGTACGTCATAAAACAGAAACAACTTCAAATGCTTTCGTAAAATCAGTGGTCATAATGATATTTAAATGGGCCTTCTTTTTTTACCTACTCTCTGTCTCTGTAGCTCAGGCCTGAATACTTTGTACCAGGGGGAGGCTGAACTTAACAAACTGCTGAAACTGGTTTTAACTGAAGGTGATTAAGACACTACTTTTAATATAACTGGCACTTTAACTGTTTTGTGGTGAATATATATAATATTCTGTGTATTTGTGTGTGATACTAGGTGAAAGAAACAGTGGCCTGTCTCAACTTCGTGATGTCATCCTTACCAACTTGGCAGACCAACTGCAGAAGAATAGATTTGGGAGTGAAGAAGATGACCACTACAGGTAAGTGGCCAGCCTTCAACTATGGGGTAGCATCTGTTCCCAGAGCCTTTGATAAGCAACATAGAACAATGTCAGAGCTTAGCTTAAAAAATTAAGTTAGCTTCCTGTAGTTGTTTACAGTGATAGAAATCCATCTCTTTTACAGATTGAGTGATGAACTGCTGCACTGTATCCTCAAGACTGTAGTCCGGGAATCCTGCCTCCTCATTACCAAATGTCAGACTGTCGCCCGAGATGATTTCCAGAAGCTGCTCTCCACTGTGCCAGTACGAATTTCAGTTCAGCAGAACAAAATGCCATCTGTGGTGACTAAGATAACACGTTTTGTGAAATTCCACTTTTACAAACTTGAGATGGTTTTCCCTGTCTGTAGGTGGTCTCACCTAGTCTGCGCTACCTCATGGCTGTTCAGAACCACCTCCTCAGTAACACCATTCTTATCCGTCCGGATGATAACGACGACAGTGACAGCTCCCTACAAGGGGAAACAATGAAGGTACAGGTAAACATCCCCTTTAAATACCCCTACCTCTGTGCACGTGGAGTCTTTTGTCGTGTCAGTCAATGAGAGACCAATCCACCAAACGGAGCCACGGGAGATGAATGTTATGTTATGGCACTGCATATTAATTTATGGCCTTAATGCAGTTTTGATTATACCTGTTAAGAGTGTTATATTAACTAAGGATGTGTTGTTTTTAAATATCACCAATCATGGTTACTAATTAAAGAATGAAAATGGATCAGTCTCATCTGTAAACCAACAGCTTAGATTGTGCTAATATATGGATCTTATCTGTTTACATAAAGGTAAAGAAATGTTGTGTGTACACTTTACATATTGCATGAAAGAGATATGATCTTCTTGGAAGCAGTGGTTACGTAAGTGTGGGCCTGTGCTGTGTGTGATCCTCAGGAGCTGCAAAGTAGTATCCTGTCCCTAGCCACTAAGATCCTGGTGGGATGTGATGAAGTGCTGGAGACCCTGCAGCAGGTGACCACGGCTCTAATTAACAGCGACATCCCTGACAGAGAAACCAGGTGAACCTTTAACTGCATCTTTTCAGGCTGGAAAAATAACCCTTTGTTCAGCCAGCCACAGTGGCTGCAGGATACTTTTAAAATCAACTAGCCACTTATTTTATTACATTGCATGGGCAGACTTTTGAAGTCAATGTGTATTACCATAAAACCATAATGTAACTGACAAAAATAAAACCAGACATGATGTTCTCTTGGTTGACTCTAATGCACTATTCTACCGTGAAACAGGATTTAGCTAAACCTGAGTAATGCTTCAGCCTCCTTTTAAAAAGAATAAAAGAGTCCATGAGAAATCATTTATGGACGCAGGTTTCTTACCTCAGTGTTCTGCCTAAGATCCATCACGTTAACATTTATGTTTTTTCGTTCTCTGTTCTTGTTGTTCAGGTTGAAAGGCTTGGAGCAGGTAACTAAGGCCACCATGCTTGGGCACCTGCTGCCAGTGTTGCTCACCACTTTGATGCACCCCAACCTGCAGACCCTCACCCTCGCTGATGCCCTCATGCCTCAGTTGGTGCAGCTGGTCCTCTACACCAGCCAGGTTGGAGTCTTGCCAATCCAAAAGGCAATTCTTGCATTAAATGAATTTATTTTTTCCTTGGGTAGAAAAAACAGTCATCTTTAAAGTACTTATTTTCACTTTGTTTTCCAGACTGCCCTGTTACTAAAGACACAGTCTCCACTTTTCACTGAAGAGCCTCCACTTATGGGTGGCTCTCTAGGACAGGGGGCGAAGGCATGTGCTGCTGATGACAAGTACGTTTTCTGGAGGTCCACCGTCAGTATGTTCGCAATAGATTTCACAGGTGTACCTAATAAAGTGGCAACTGAATGTAATTGCTAGCTGTTTTGTCTGTCATAAGCTTTGTTTTCTAATTTGTCTGTATCCTTGATATAAGAATTCTTGACGAACGCGAAGAGCCAGGTTTCCTGACTGGACTGAAGATCCCTGCCCCATGGGCTGCTGGGAAGACTGTAGAGACAGTGCACCCTGTGAGGGACAATTACAAGTTCAAGGAGACGGTACACATCCCAGGAGCCCGCTGCCTGTACCTTCGCTTTGATTCTCGCTGCTCCTCACAGTATGACTATGACAAGGTATTGACTCCCTTCGCTCTTACATACACTGTGTGCAATTTGTCAAGCACTGCAAAGCACTGGTTGGGGATATTTTACATTCTTATATTCTCTGATATTTTAGTTGGTGATCTATGCTGGTCCCAACACCAACAGTCGTAAAGTGACAGAGTATGGAGGGAACACTCTGGGATATGGGAGTCGCAGTGTTCTGGGGACAGGATGGCCCAAAGACCTTGTCAAGGTAAAAGAAGTTGTTTAGCACACATGAACAGTGAATAGGTAGTGCACATACATTCTTGAAAAGCAATTTTTTTTTTCTGTGTCCTGTTTTAGGTTGAAGGAGACACTGTGACGTTTTCTTTTGAGATGAGGAGTGGCAGAGAACACAACACCCCCGATAAAGCCATGTGGGGGTTCTCCTGCACTGTTAGAGCTCAGGTAATCACTGGCATGTCCCAAACATCTGTATTTAAGGTTGTTTAATCATACTGGCAGCGTGAAACACGAGGAATGCCTGCTAATTCTGAGGATGCTATTTGTTTTTGTTTTCAGGAGTCATCCGAGGACGTCTCTGGAGGCCTCCCCTTCCTGGCAGACCTGGCACTGGGTCTGTCAGTGCTGGCCTGCTCGATGCTCCGCATTCTGTATAACGGGCCAGAGGTGACAAGAGAGGAGGAAGCCTGCCACGATTTGCTCTGCTCAAAGCTGCTGCAAAGGTGACGCAGCTAAATAAAAATACCACAAAATGTCCCCCAGTGATATTGATTGTCTGTGTGATAAATATAGCGCAGTGCAATAATTGGTACACATTCTTCAGTGGTATGTAGTTGAACACAGAAAAACTATGGTAGCTAAGGTAACAGGCTTTGTTTTGTTTTTGTTTTTAGGTGTCAGTGGCAGGTGGAAGCAAATGGTGCAATCTCCCCTGCCCTCACGCCCAGCCCTTCACCTCTGCCACTCACTATCGAGGAGGACCGGGAGTTCACCTACCCCTCTGATGTGCTGATCCCACCCCCAGGCCTCATGCCAGGGACCTACTTTGACTTGCCTCGTATCCGCCTCCCTCCGGGCATCATGGGTAGGCTACGAGAGGTGTCCGGAAGGGCTCGACCACAGTTCCGTCCTAGCATCAAGTAAGAGGGTCACACTATCACAGCACAGAGAACATGAAAACAGTGCTAAAATTATAAAGTACTGAACACTAGCAAGGTTAGGCAGCACAAACAAACTCTTCCTGAGACCGTAATTGTGAACAAAGTCCACAGTTTTCTAAAGGAATTATGTAATAAAATCTGAATTTTCTTTTTAGACTGTTCCTCAAATGATCAGAATATCCCTCCAAGTCCTTGTGATTCTGATTAGGCTGACACATTCTTCTTTAAAATTGAATATCTAGGCTTTTGTATGCCTTCTAGCTTGGTTCATAGAGTGAAATTTTTGATTTAGTTCTGATGGTTGTTTTTAAGATATTGGTTTTCCTCTCGGCATTGCAGCTCTCCCTATCCATAGTTGATTAGTTTCTGAATGTAAATTGGATAAAGGAGGTGATATTGCTTTAAAATGGTGACGATAGATACCCAGTACATATATATATGTGTGTGTGTGTGTGTGTGTGTGTGTGTGTGTGTGTGTTTATAAATGTTTTTACCATTTTGTTTTCTGTAAGGGAGGTGATCAGGCCAGATGTTATGGAGGAGGTAATAGTATCTTGCGTCATAAAACATCTAAGCCTGGTGGATGCCCTTCAGTCACTTGTCAACTACCAGTACCGTGAGGATCACGCAGAGGAGTATGACCTGGTCTGTAAGATCATGGCCGAGACTTTCAAGAAGATCAATGCTATGGAGCGTCAGCTGCAGGTGAGTTTTTTTTTTTTTTTTTAAACAAATATACTTTACACAATGCACACTGTTTGTTTGCTGTATTGTCAGTTATTCAAGGAAGTTCTACATTAGATAAAGATTAATAAAGCACTTTCTTTTTGCTGCAGGGACCAGAATTTTTTTTTTCAAAGCTATATTTATTTTCAGCCAGAAAGTTGCTATATTGGGCATAGTTACACTACCTTATTATATCTCTAATCACTGGAATGCTGCTGATATAACAACAAATTGGAGAGATATTCCCCCCACGGGCAGTATATTAAAATGCGACCTGGAGATATGAGAGTAATATTGAAAAACAGCAGAATATTTCAAATTAAAATTAGGTTGAGGCTCACCAAAAGAAGAGTTTAGCTAAGAAAAGTAAATCAGGTTACCAACCTTAAGTCTTACCCTGAGTCTAATTATCTCCTGCGTTGCTTTCAGAGTGTCGCAGAACTGGAGCAGAAGTGGCAGAATGAGGTAGAGGAGGCCCATCAGGGAAAGCTGGAGAACAACGCTCCTTTCTTTCACGACTACCACTTCTTTGAGGTACCCCACTCCACACACACAGTTTACAACTTTTGCTCTAGAGATTACACCATTACTATTACCATTTGCTTTGATATTCATAATGTATTGTGTTTTTTTTAGAACAAAATTAAGGAGCTGGAACTACTTTGCTCCCTGAAGGAGGTCCCACTCGATTTTAGTGATTTGGAAAATGTTGTCCTTGCACTAAGGCAAGTAATTAGAAATGATCCCAACACTTGGAGCAGATGACTTTGCCTCAGTTGTCATGGGTCAGTTTGTACAGTAACATTGTGTATCTGCACCAACAGGGAGAAGTTCTTTCAGGAGGTAAACACCATGCACCTCAGAAGTAGCACCTCACTGGCCAAAACTAAGGCACTGGTGAAGAGTCTGATGAACCGCACTGAGCTGCTGCTCCATGTTACCATTGCTCCACACTGCAGAAGCCTAACCACTACACCTGCTGGCACTCCTGGTCCAGGTGCATATCATCTTTTTATGTGTATTCTTATGTTGCTGGTTAGTTGCTGAGTGAAACTTTGTAGAGCAGCAGGGTTGAGATTAGAGATTTGTTCCATCAAACAGATTCTCACGTAATTCTTCTGATTGTTTTGTGCTAGCCTCTAAGTCAGTGTCAGATGCCAAGACAGTGATGCCCTTGGTGAAGCAGCCAGTCTTCCTACGCAGCATGTCTGCACCCTCTGACTTAGAGATGATTGCTAACCAGGACTTGGAGTTTACACATGCGCCCCAAAGGTATTTGTCTATTTTTGTTTGATAGCTTTAATGTTCGAGACACATATAAATGACTTGGGGATGAATTTGTGCTTGTTGCTTTACCTTTAGGAGGCGACACCACCCTACTAGTCACCGTAGCAGCTCATTCACCCTGCTGCAGTCTCTGGCCATAGAGGACAGCCGTGACAAACCAACATACAGCGTGCTGCTGGGACAGCTCTTCGCTTTTATCGGAACAACACCTGATCAGGCTGTAAGTCTCTTTCTCATCACTCACTCCATTTTTGTATTATCTTGTTTGTTGCCATAGCTGCGTGAGAATCAGTTGGTGAATTCTGGTCTGACATTGAGATCTGTTATACCGTCATCATTTCTGTAGGTGTCAAGCAGCAGTTTCCTGTCTGCCGCGCAGACACGTTGGAGACGTGGCAGCACGCGGAAGCAGGCTCTTGTTCATATGAGGGAGTTGCTCACTGCTGCTGTCAGAGTTGGGGGTGTCACCCACCTGGTGGGGCCTGTAACTATGGTACTGCAAGGTGGCCCAAGGTAAGAGAAGAAGCCTATAAACACTACTAACAATCCCACCCTACTCTACACACATATTTAGGTACAGTCACTAACCTACTCTTTATTTAAAATATACTCAATAAGATGTGATGTAGTCATCATTACAATATCTAAAACATTTTAATGGCACAGTAAAACTATGCTTGATGGTGCCTGGTTCTTCTATGTATCTGTGTTTGTGTGCCATGTGTGCAGGATTGAGGAGCTCACCTGTGGTGGAATGGTAGAGCAGGTGCAGGAGGCCTTTGGGGAGACCATGACGTCCGTAGTGTCACTATGTGCTTGCTACCCCATTGCTTGTGCCAACAGTATTGGCTTGCTTTGCACAATACCGTACACCAGGCAAGATCATTTATCTTATGAGTAAAATTAAAAGAGAGATATAATTTAATATAATTTACTCGTATCACTGAACCCTCAAATTCCTTACCCTAATTTTTTATGTGTTTTCATAGGAGTGAGGAGCAGTGCCTAGTTCGGAGCGGTCTGGTCCAGCTCATGGACAGCCTGTGTAGTTTAAGCGGTCAGAGGGAATGCAGCTCAAACGAAAAGCAGACCAAAAAACAGAAGGTGGCCACCATGGCCTGGGCTGCTTTCCAGGTGCTGGCTAACCGCTGCATCGAGTGGGAGAAGGTGGAAGGTATGTTATGTTTGTAGGTCCTTCCTCTGATCATCTGTGAACAGCTATCAAACTCAGTATATTTGTGTTGATCCAGAAAAAGTAGTAATTAAGCAAGTAATCTTTCTTTGTTCTCTTTAAAGGTGGGTCTACAGATGCAGTGCACTCTGGTCTGGCACGGCAGGTGTCAAGCCTGTTGACCAATCATCTTGCCAGAGCCACAGAGTGCTGTGGGAATCAGGCAGCTGGCAATGATGCATTACAAGATGTGCTCAGTCTGCTCAATGACCTTTCAAGGTAATTCTCTTTACACCGTGTGTGTATATTATCGTGTATTTGTATATATGTGAGTGTATTTGTAAAATGATTGTACATGATCCTTTGTTTTGTATTCCAGGAGTCACATAGGGAAAGCTATCCTGAGCCAGCCAGCTTGCGTTTCTAAGCTCCTGTCTTTGCTGCTTGATCAGAGACCTTCTCCAAAGCTGGTACTCATCATCCTGCAGCTATGCCGAGCTGCCCTGCCTCTCATGAGTGTGGAGGACTGTGGTAACGTGGCCCTGCCCTCGTGGAGCTACTCTATTAACACACTAGATGCTGAACAACAAGATGCTAATGACCCTGCCTCACGTATTGCTGCCCTGCTGCTAGCCAAGCTGGCAGACTATGTAGTACCAGGTTGGTCTCTCTTACCTAGGAGTACTAAATAAATGTGTGTGTAGTAGCAGGTAAATGCCAAAAACAGTCATGAATTATACATTCTCCTGCTAATTAAAAATATTTACAATCTTCCCTCTTCACCAGGCTGTCAGACCCTGCTCTCCCCCAGCTCTTCTGAGCCAGACACAAGTCTTTCCCGTGCCAGTTCCAAAGGAGCTCTGAAGTCTGATGATGTTGGGGAAGAGGGAGAGGCGGTTGATGGCAAGCTATCAATCTTCATCCACAAGAGAGAGGACCAGTCCTCTCATGAGGTTCTACAACCACTTCTCAGGTGAGGTTGTCCCTAATATCTTTGTTTTTATTTCACATTAGCATGCTTAGTCTGGGTTTTTTTATGACATAAGTGTGCTTCCATTAACTCCAAAATGCAGCAGCTCAGAAGGACGTCCCTTTCGGCTTGGCACTGGAGCAAACATGGAAAAGGTGGTAAAGATGGACAGAGACATGACAAAGGTACAGGTTGTTTTTTTTAAACCCAAAAACCCACATTTACCCAGAATTTAAAAGTATATACTCACAATACAAGAACTTGTTTTTCTGTAGCTTTATTCTAAGTGCCATTCTTACCTCTGCTGTCCCATTTCCAACCCTCCCTAGAGCGGCAGCTGTGAGGTGATCACAGAAGAGGCATCTGCTGCCCTGAGGAAGGCTAACAAGTGGGCCCAGTCTGGTCTGATAGTGAGCATTGGTCCACCTGTGGAGACTCTAGCCCAGGAGACTGCTGGAGGCATCACCACTGGTGACAAGAAGAAAACTGCTCAGACTGCTGTTTGTAGAGACAGGAATGCTGAGCTGGCTAGGTAAAATATATGACTGCAGTAGTGTGATTACCAAATTTGTTCACTCCCACTTTCCTGTATATATGATTTTTCATCATGTCTGTGTTTGTCTGGTCAAACCGTATTTGTGATGGACTTGTCTTGACTTTTAAATGTGCCTCCAACAGGTCAGACCCTGTCAGGCCGTTCATCAGCGGCCATGTTGCCAACAGTATGGCTGCTGAGGTTATCGCTCTGCTGCATAGCCTTCTCACTGCCCCCGAGTCGAACACCGCTCAGATCTGGACCAGCACTGCTGAAAAAGTAACTATTATGTGTCTGACTTTATCACAATGTTTGTTCTTATTTAATGGTACCCCATGACTTATTGCTTACTATATGATTATTGGCCATTAAAAACATTAATAGTGAGAATTTCAATCAAGAGACATATTTGGTGATGTTTCTATTAAAGCTAATGCTTTCTCTTGTGGGGTTTGTGGTAGGTTCTCTCCCGGGCCCTGATGTTTATCCCTCAGCTGGGGAAGTATGCGGAGAGTATTCTGGAGAATGGGAGCAGCAGTGGCAGGAAACTGGCTAAGCTTCAGGCCATTGGCAGACAAGCTGTTGCTGCACTCTGTGCCCTTGGGGGCTTCAAAGAAACTATTAAGATCGGCTCTGAGGTCCAGGTTAGTTAAAGGAGACGAATCAGTGAAAATGCTATGCGTTCGCACCAACTCCTGCCGTAATTAGCATCCTATATAAAAACATTTTAACATGTCATCACCTATTTCCCTGTAACCTTTAAAATGTTAAATGTTGGCATATTTCCTGTGATTCCTCTGCTCTTCAGGTGGTAGGTAAAGGAGTGCTGGGTAGTGTGGGCATAGTTATGTCCATCAATGAGCAGGAGGGCATTGCTACAGTCAAGTTCCCATCTTGCGAGTACAGGAAAGCTTGCAAAGCCTCAGACATCCTGACAGTACCTATATCACGCCTCTGCACGCCCAGATCTGAGGTACACGTTTAAGTATCAAACACAACACAGTCCTTTGGTTTTAGTTCTGGAAAATATCAGCTTGAATCTCACTGTCTCCCTTTCGCTCTGTACCCACCCCCAACAGGCTCTCCCCCTCTATAAGCTCTCGATCACCGAGAAGGTGGTACAAGCAGTGCAGTCCATGCTTCTGCCACAGGAGGGCAGCCTCTCCATTCACACTTCTCTACCGGCTACAGGAGATGGCTCCAGCCCGGTAATGGCTGCAGTACGCTTGCTGGCTGAAATCAGAACCAGGTTAGTAAACATCCATGTAAATGCAGGCTTCCACTTCCAAAAGCGTTTTTCTTTAAACCATTTCCAAGTTTTCATCAGCTTTAACATGTTTTCATTGGTGGTCTTAGGTTGAGTTGTTTTTAACATGGTGTATTTATGTGGGTACCTGAAACCCCGTAAAACTCTCATATGTATTGTTATTATTATATGAAATGTGACATCAAAAATCACAGGGTTTTACTTTTTTTCAGGGCATGCCTGGTGATGGCCCAGCTCCTGGAGGATAGCTCCTTCTGTGAAGAGTTCATTCAGCAGTGTCCCGCTGCTGTTGAAGTTCTCAACCTGGTTGCTCAGGAATGCAGCCCTGGTGAGCATACATACACTGACATGTCAAGACATTTAAGCACTCAAAACCTTCTATTTACAGTATACTGTATTTGGTGTGTAATACATAATTCACTGTTGTGAATCATGTCACAAGTCTTGTCATCCCTTGCAGGTGAGCGTCTCGGCATGGTTGAGGCTCAGTGTGAAAGAGTGAGAATGCTGTACCGGGACTGCGCTCGGCCTCCTCCTCCACCACTGCAGACTGACAGACGGCAGGTAAGAGTTACCAAATTTATACTTCCAATTTTTGCAATAACCAGCGACAAACGCAAGAAAGATTCCCTCTCTTGTAACATACATGTGGACTGGAGGCAGCTTAAAATACACATTTATCATTGAAGAAGGTGGCAATATCTTCCACCAGTGGTTTTCCCTTATCAGGAAGACCTTAACTTTAGTCTTTGAAAAGTGTTAATGGAAAAGAACCTCAATTTGAACGTGTTTTAATTGAATGACAGCTAAAGGCCAGGTAATTATTTTCCCTTATCAGGAAGACCTTAACTTTAGTCTTTGAAAAGTGTTAATGGAAAACCACCTCAATTTGAACGTGTTTTAATTGAATGACAGCTAAAGGCCAGGTAATTATAGTAGGAAATTCTTATATTTATGCCAGCCTCAAAGCATAACGCACTATAAAATCAAAGACATTTTGATCATGCCAGATCATGTTTTGGGGCATTTGTGTGTGACAGGTAAAGAGACAGACAGGAAGAGAGAGGGGTATAACATGTGCACTTGTACTGTTACCATTCAGCTGATAAGGCGCTCGCTCCTTATCCCTTTTGATGTGCTTGTCTCATCAGCCCAAGGAGATCACTTGGTGTCCATCCAGAGTTTTCCCTCCGGTCCGAGCCTGCATGTTCTCATCCCGTCTGACCTCTGTCACCTTCCTGGCTGATCCAAGTGCTGGAGGAGGGCTGCCCAGAGGCACCTTCATCTACGCCACCTGTCCTGTACCAATTCAGGTGGGTACATCACAGTGGAATGTTAATATTTGACATCCCAGTTTGTTTGAACATGTATCAGATAATAGATAAAATCATGCATTGATATTGCAGCCGGGCCGCAGTTTTCATTTACTTCTCTTTTCCCTGCAGGCCCCGTCCTTTTACTGGGAGATAGAAATTGTCTCCTATGGAGACTCTGAGGAGGACAGTGGCCCGATTGTGTCCTTTGGTTTTGCCACCGAGGCAGAGAAGAGAGACGGAGCGTGGACCAACCCTGTCGGCACATGTCTGTTTCATAAGTATGTTCATCTGCATATTAGCTCTGAATGACTCCATCCTTTCCACACTGCTCTGTCTCTGACTTGAGTGCTGACTGCTATCCTTCTCTTTTGTGTCGTTCCGTCTCTGTGTGTCTGTCTCCTGTCTGTCTGTCTGTGTGTCAGTAATGGTAGGGCAGTGCACTATAATGGCTCCAGTCTGCTGCAGTGGAAGAGTGTCAGGCTGGATGTGGCTCTACTTCCTGGTGAGACAGGAGACAAAATATGTCTAACTTCATAGACAATGAATTTCCTCAGCTTAGAAATCCATACATCATCAACATGTATGTTATGGATTTGAACTAAACTCCTTAAAATCATTGTATCTTATCTGGCTGCTCTTTAAAAAAAGCTTTTTGCAAGCATATCTTGTTTCTTTAACTCAAACTATATCTATAGCTAGTGTGTTTAAAATATGTTATTACCTGTTAACCTGAGTCACCTTACATTTGTATAAATACAGGCGATGTGGCTGGAATAGGCTGGGAGCGTTCTGAGGGCACGCCTCCACCCCCTGGTCAGGCCCCAAAAGGCAGGGTCTACTTCACCTACTGCGGCCAGCGGCTCAGCCCTATTCTTGAGGATGTAGCTGGTGGAATGTGGCCCCTGGTACACATTCAAAAAAAGGTAGGTTTATGCTGACTAAAGTGACCTTGAAAGCTTTTATATTTGAACTGTTTCTAAGCTATAATTTGGTCCATTACCAATATTTAATATGTATAATACTGTATCCTTTTTCCTTGCTGCTTCAGGGACACTATTTTCCTTCAGGATTAATGTAGTTAATCTTCTTTTTTTTCTTCCATTTTTTTTGTAGAACTCAAAGATCCGTGCCAACTTTGGAAGTCGGCCATTTGCATACGCAGAAGGCCAAGCACACAGAAATGCGGCTGACCTGTGTGTAGACCTTGCAGAGGAAATAAGTGCAAATTTTGAAGCACTGCCCTTTGCAATGGCCTCAGACAGTGACAACGATGCAGGTGCAAGTGTTACCTCTGACTCTGGCTCCCATGGACCCCCTTGTCGGAATGCAGCTGTGGCAGTCGCCCAACAACGTATGTTTATCACCTTCATTTCAACCTTATCCTCATCAAATGTGCAAGCTTTTGCTTAACCTCTTGGCTTTTGCATAAATATCCCCCAAAGACAGGCAGTGAGTGCACTACACTGATACAGTGATTCATTTTGTCTCAATTTAACATTAGTTAAACTTTCTGTTTGTCCTTCTCTGTTGCTACAGAGTACAACAGTGACCTGTCGTGCCATTACAAAGTTGAGCTGAGCTACGAGAACCTGGTCACTTCAGGGCCTGACCCACATCCCCCTCCTATTGCAGATGATGAGAGTGATGATGAGGATGATGACGATGTCCCAAGAGTGAGTTAGACCTCCACTCCCCTCTTCTAATAATGACTTCCACATAAAGTTTGAGTTCACTGTATTTTGATTTGTGTTTGACTGTGTTAGGAGGACCACTATGCCTTGCTGGTTAAGGCCTGGGAGACCAAAGTGTTCCCTACCATTCGTAGGCGGTTCCGTAACGAGGCTGAGAGGAAATCTGGCCTGGACCAAATCAAAGGAGCTCTGCAGCTAGGTAATGAGTGAAAGAATATCAGTGAGACCAACATCATTTGACTGATCAATAGAGGTCAGTAAAAAGCTGCTTAGTTTAAAATACAAACATAAATCATTAAATCAGTTATCTAGCTGAACAATCCTCTCCACTAGTAAACATGAGAAGAAGCTCAAACTTTGGGTCAAGCTAGGATATAATACTGAGAATGAATGCAACACAAATAGTTTTAAGGTGGGTAGCTTGCACATTATTTGTTTTCTGTCAGAAAGTGTGCCACGATGTCACCCTGAGTTAGAACATTGATGGAATGTCAAAAATACAGAAGTCTGTATTCAAACAATGCACCTCCTCTGCATGTGCACTATACAAAGAGGGCACTGTCATAGATATAATTTTAGATTAATTATCCTTTAAAAAAATCTGAACAATGTGGTTAATTAGAGTGCTATAGTTACATTTTAAATTAAATTAATTGACAAATGTTAATAACCTGGCCAAACCAAACCTGTTCATATTTTATGTTAATGATAAGCTCTGAACTTTGGTGTGTTTTGTTGACAACAGGCATGGTCGACATTGCAAGACAGACAGTGGAGTTCCTGTATGAAGAGAATGGCGGCATTCCTCGTGACCTCTACCTCCCTACCATTGAGGATATCAAGGATGAGGCCAACAAGTTCACCATTGACAAAGTTCGGAAAGGTACCATTCACCTAAATCCCAATGCACTTCATGTTAGAATGAGGTCAGGCTGGGGGCTTCTCGGTGGCTCACCTGGTGGAACCCCCAGCACCGTATCAAAACTGTTAATTTAACGCCTCATACCCTGCACATCAAAAAAAAAGAAAAAAATTGACCTGTATGATAATCTGCTTACTTAACGCAGGCTTGACTGTGGTCATCCGCAGTCCGGACAGCAACAACACGAACAGCACTACAGGAGGGACAGCCCTTCCAAAGTTTGCTATCCGGGGCATGTTGAAGACCTTTGGCTTGCACGGAGTAGTGCTGGATGTGGACTCCGTAAGTACAAAACATGATGCTTCAGTGTTTTGAGCTATTAGTGGAAATGTATCGATAAACTGGTTTGTGTGTGGATGAATATCTTCAAGCAGGCTGGTCACATATTTTTCAAATGATGATTCCAAAAAAATAGATGAATGAATCATCATAATTATCGTCATCATCATCACCATGACCCACTCATCACTGGTTCTCTTCCTGAGCTCCCATTCATTTCTTAAATAAGATGCCAATTTAAATGTCACCTTTCCAAACAACCATTTTAGTCATTGTAAATTATTCATATCCATCATCTTAGTCACATCCTTAATATCATTAAACAAAAGATGAGAAAGGTTTCCAGTGCATAGTGTGGGAGATGGAGGTTTTAGATGGGGTAATCAGTGTATTAAGTTTGATAGCGCAAAGAAGAATCTGTTAATAAGTCACACTGTTAGAACAAAGGACCACTGTATTGAGGAAGGTTGAAGGCCTTCACATGTGATTTACAAGTGGTTTGGTTAGGAGGTAACCAGGTGATCTTGGAGATACTGGATTTGTATATAAGATAGATAAATCCGAAAGTCTGGAGAGAACATCCATGCTGAGGTCTTCTCTCCATGCTGCATGTAATAAAGTGACTTGATTTATCACACCGACCTGTCATTCTTCAGAGAACTAGCAACTCTCAATCTTTGGAATAATTTCTCCTACTATTGGACAGTAAAAAATAAAATGATATTCATTTTTAATTTCCCCTAAATCAGACAGTAGACAAATTTGACATCCTTTTTCTAAAGCAGCACACCTACCTGTGTTAGTAAGAAGAGGCAGTATATTAACTCTCATTTGGGCACAATTAGACTGTTTTTTCTTTAAATATATTAAATGAACATAAGTTTGAGTTAAATAATCATATTTCATGTCACAATAGAGAGATGTTATATTTCTTTTGGCTTGCCTGGTATCAACCATATCAGTTAACCTTTTCCATAGTCGGGCAATACCAACTTTCCACCGAACTTCACAGGGTTCCCACCCCAAATTGCTCTTTGGCTGCTTCATTGGCCCACATCCCAGCCATGTAATCATGATAATAAGGACTGGACAAACACTAGCTTGAAAGATTTTAGTACATATAAAGAAACTATTACCTCTAATTTATTTAATTTTGCCAACAACGGTCTCTGGTGCCCTGCCTGCAGACAACTGAGAGTGCAGATGCCATATACAAAATCAATATGCTTATCAACTTAAAAACCTTATTTTTATGCCATTTGTCACCTTCAACCTATCCAGGTGAATGAGTTGGTGCAGGTGGAAACCTACCTGCGCAGTGAGGGGGTGCTGGTGAGGTACTGGTACCCAATTGAGATGCTGGAGCGCCCGCCTGCTGGATCTCGACGCACTGCGGCTAATGGCTTAGTCTCACTAGACAGTAGCAACATTCAGATTCATAGGTAATGTATGAACCTAATGGGGATAATGTAAATGCGTCATGCACCAGTGCTTAAAATAAAATGTGTTTTACCGGTTTACTGTAGGGAACTGCTTCGCTGTGAGAGTGCGCTGGCTCGGTTATACTGCCGCATGGCCTTGCTCAACATCTTCGCCCCCAAGAATCCCCACACCTTCACTCGTCTCTTCCACATACCTGCTATCCGTGACATCACCTTAGAACACCTGCAGCTGCTGTCCAACCAGCTGCTGGCTCCTCCCCTCCCCGGTGAGTATTAGTCTTTTTGTGAATAACAGGATCCCTCAGTGTGATGACCTTTTTGTGTTTCTGTGCTGACTGCTGTGATGTTGTTCTTCCTGCAGATGGCACTATTAGTTCAAGTTCTATCCTACTGGCCCAGTCTGTGCTTCACAACCTCCAGGGCCAAAGCTGTTCTCCCTCAGAACTATTCTACCAGGGCAACGCTCAGCCCATCCGGGAGTGGCTGACAGTGGCCATCACCCGTGCCTTGCATCAAGGAGAGGAAAGCCTGCTGGAGCTCACAAAGCAGATCTGCTGCTTCCTGCAGGTCAGATTTGCCAATCAGTGCTTAATAGATTTGTCTTTGTATACCTACCCAGTCTGTAAAGTTGCTAATCCTCTTATAAATCTGTTGACTTTGACAGAATGCACCAGAGCAGTTTACATCTGAGGAGTTTCCTGTGACGGAGTCAAAGGTTAGCATGGATGTCAGCTTTCCAGGTGCTGCATTTGTGATTGTATCCTGCAAGGAGAGCCAGCTGGGGTGCCGCAAAGAGTGAGTTCCTCATAAGTGTTCAACTTCAGCAATTTGTGATGAACTCTGACTTCCTGCCATCCAGTTCTTTTTAACTTTGTATAATTCTCTCCTGTCTTTTCTTCTTTATTAGCTCCAGCCTTTACAAGGCTCCCTGGGCTCGAGTCATGGTGTATGGTCTGGGTCACAAAGTGCGTAGAAATGGACAGCTAAATCTGATGGAGGCTGTGTGCTATCCACTGGATGCCTCACCTACCAACACAGGCCTTACTCCCCCTCCCACAACCAACCAATACCCCTCTGTTATTATACCCACTGATAAGGTGCACATCAAGCTGGGTGAGTATCTAACTCCGAAAAGGAAATGCATACAGGCTGCTTTAACATTCTGTAAAAAACAGGATAAAATGGTATTAAATATCTCATTGTCTTTATTATAGGGGTGTCGCCCCCTCCTGGTGCTGTACTGGTGCTGCACTCCTTGCCACTGGAGTTTCCTTTAGCCATGGCATTTGCTGAACAGCTGTTGACATGGAAGCTGGGAGAGAGCACTGAGCGATCAGAGGATGAGCTGGACACAGTGCCCTCGTCTGTGCTGCTGCAGGTGGTAGAACTACTAGGTAGGTATAACAGCAGTTAAAAGGACACTTTGATGAGCCTAATTTATTCACCCATTTGTATTTGCTGTCCACATTATTTAAATTCAGCCCTAGTAAAATCCTTCTGCACAGTCACCCACAAGCACAAAAGTGGATTTTACCTGTTACACTTTAAGTTGTTTAACTCCTGTTCGCTGTTTTTTTCTAATTTTGCTTTATGACATTATGATATTATTTAATGCTTAGTTGGTGTGTGATATAGTATCTCTTTCACTGTGGGATTTCAAGTTTTTAAAACTACATTCCACTCTAAAAGAACCATATACTTACAAGGAGTTTACAAGCTAGTTAAACCCACATGTACAGTACTCTTCTCTACTAGCTCCATAAATCCTAGAAGAAATATGAAAGCTTGCAAGATAAATCATACCAAACATGACTATGGATTTTCTTAATGTTTTAGGTGGTTTGCTTTGGACCACTGATCTGGCTCCCTCCATCAAAGAGCTCATCTTTCACTTGCTGGCTGAGCTTTTGCGGAAGATCCACCACTTGGAGCAGCGCAAGAGCCCTGCTGGTCTCTCCAGCTCCATTGCTCTGCTGCTTAACCCCTGCCTCGCAGTGCTCATGGCCCTGCAGACAGAACTCCGAAAGCTTTACGACAGGGAGACTCAGGGATGGACTGCTGGAGGGGCTGGAGCAGGGGGGTCTTCATCCGGAGGCATCGCATTGGCTCTGGGGGCAGAGCAGAGCCGGTTCTCTACCTACTTCCACGCTCTGATGGAGGTGTGTCTGGCTGTGGCAGAGGTGACACTTCCCCTCAATGTAAGCGGCTCCTCAGTGGGAGCCCTGTCCTCCACCAGCGCCCCTAACCTTAGTGACTCTTCTTCATCGTCGTCATCGTCCCCAGGCCAGACACCACAGAGCCCCAGCCTGCTATCCAAACGTAAGAAGGTGAAGATGAAGCGTGAGAGAGCAGCAGCTGCAGTGGCAGCAGCAGTCTCAGGCAAACGGGGAAGTGGAGGTGCGCGGTTGTCAGAGAGTGACAGTGCCCTGCTGAACATGGCGGGTAGTAAACCTGAGGACATGCTGTGGTTCCACCGCTGCCTCACTCTCCTGATGATCCTACGACATTTAGCCAATAAGGACCCGCAGGGCTTAAGTGTGACCAGCGATGCAGTGACAGATGCCTGCCAGGCTTTGGTGGGTCCCACTGCCCACAGTCGCCTGCTGGTGCTCTCAGGTATCCCCACGCACCTGGAGGAGGCTGCGGTCCGAAAGGCTATTCGCAGGGCTTGCAACGCACATGGAGGGCTCTTCAAAGATGAAGTCTTCATCCCTCTGCAGGAAGAGGACCCCAAGAAGCCCAAAGCTGGGATTTCTAGCCCTCAGGATGGTAAAGCAGGCCCTGAACCTGAGCGCCCCTTCCCCAACAGCGGAGGCCCTGAGAGTCCTGACAGCTCCAGCAGCGTGACTCCAGCTATGAGTGTGAGCGCTTCAGCTTCTACCAGCCAGACATCGATCGGTAGCTCCTCTCAGGGAGTCTCCCGCACTGCCAGTGAACTTTCTGTTGATCAGGAGCTGTTGGCTGTTCCACCTCTCACCCCTGCTGCTGCAGCTTCAGCTGTTACATACCCCCAGCAGGGCCCCCAAGACCCCCAGACTGTTTCTAGCCAGGAGAGTTTAGATACCTCCCTGTGCAGTACAGGAAGCCTGGGGAGTCTCGGCAGCTTGGGGGAGCCTCTCGACGGAGCAGAAACACCGTCGGTGTCAGATGGCGGCTCTATGCACACAGTCACCTCGCTGGAGAGCAATGCAGTCATGGCCAGGCCCATCAAGGGTTACGCTGTCATTGAGGTGGGTTTATTAAGCGTACCATAATGGATCCACGCGGTTTGATTTTGTTTTGTTCTGAGGAAATACACTTGTTTCTCTGTTGTTGATTATAGGTTCGTTCTCGGGCCAAAGTGGAAAAAATCCGAGCCAGTCTTTTCAACAGCAGTGACCTGATTGGTTTGTCTAGTCTGGAAGGTGAAGAGGAGCTAATGGAGTTGACCAATGAGGAGATCCTCACAGCTTCCAGTGTTAATCAAAGCCTGTTTGACACACAGGGAAGCTCTGCTCTTGAAGACTACTTCCTGGACAAGTCAGTCAGAGGTTAGTGTTTGACTCTGGTTTGATGTTTTCTGCTCTTACACAGTGACATTAGCTCTGCCAGTACCAAATCTTATCTCTCCGTGTTTAAAGGTGACAAGCTTGTACCCGGAGCACGAGATGTCCTCACAGATATTTTTAAGAGTTGTGTGCACTCGGAGCAGATGCTCAGCCTCACACCGGCCAAGCCAGTTAAAGTGTCAGACATTTACCTCAGCAAGGAGCAGATCAACGCTCAGACTCCTGGCAACCTACTGCATACTTTCTTCACCAATGTTAGGCCTCCAAAGAAAGTACTTGAAGACCAGCTTACTCAGGTAAATAATACATTACCAGGGAATGTCCAGTGATCCTGTTGTTACAGGTTGAAACTCCCCCTGCTTCCCTCTGAGGCCAACCACCATAAGTAAATTGTTAACACTTTATTCTGTATGTACACTGACATGTGTGAAAATGATTTGTTTGTATCAGATTCTAAGAAAGTATGGCACTCCCAAGCCCAATAAGAACAAATACAGCAAAGCAGGAAAAGAACAGCACCAAGGCAAGGTTGTGAGCACAAAGAGGCCCATCACCAAACCTCCCACCAAGGAAAAGTCTGTCCTCAACAGTGTCAGGTGAGTAACTTCCCACACAACTTTACACGCCTTTTTCACACATAGTAAATTACTGAGATAATCTTTCAGGCACTGCTAGTGCTTTTCAGTTTTCACACACTCACAGCTTCTTCAGGAACATTTCAATCTAGCACCATTTCACACATGCCATGGCAGTGCTGAGGAAAGGGGACGATCCAGCAGATGGCGGCAATCTAACACTTCTGGATGACAACCACCATAAAACTCAACAGAAGAAGAAGATGGGGGCTAGGCCTGTCACTTTTTCCAAAAATAAAGTTCTAACTAATTTTAAATTACCCCCAGCTAGTTTGAATGACATCGAACAAAATATAACACATAGTACAAATGTGACACTACACAGGAACATGGAATGTAAAGACTACACAAAGGATTAGACAGTCATTCTTACCACGCTAATGGGCCACATAGCTGCATATAAATCTTATCAGTAATGTCATTCTTAGGAGCTTCTGGCAAGAGCCCTGCTGAAGCTGAGTATGCCAAATAGTAGCAGTCAGACGAGGTTGTACACTTGACCTTGCCCCACTCGTTTGTGGTGCCTCCTCTCCGTTGCCTCACTTGGGTGACAAGCTAACGTTAGCGAGTGAGTCTCTAGATTTGTTGTGGTTGTAGAGTTAGACAGCTGCTTTGTTCAAAGTCAACAGAAGCACACGGCTTCTCAGATGCTTTGGTGTGGCAATTGTCCACTCAGGACAACGTTGCTCCATGCTTTGTTCACTAGTGTCCTCCATTTTTGTAGTAAACAACATAACTTTACTAGCTTTGTTTACACAGGTCATTAGTGCATGTCATAGGTCAAACTACTTCAAACTGTAAACCGGTGGAACTTCGTCTCATTATTTTCAGAAATATGGCGGACGGGGAGCTGTTTTTTGCAGTGTATTTAATATTCAACAAGTTCCACAAAAAAAGAACTTAGCTTCATTGCAAACAAAATAACTTGTAGTGCTTGTTTATCAAATCACTCGTGAAAACATTGGCAAGGAAGGTAAATGTAAACATTAAGGCACAGACTGCATGTGTAAAAGGTTTTTTTTTTTTTTTTTACACTAATTGAATGAAATTTGGTGGTTTCTTTCCTCTACCAGGACTGCACTGAGTGAGAAGAAGACAGTCCTGAAGCCTAAATCTCCTGAGAAATCCAGACCTGATGAGAAAGATGTGGAAAAATCTCCTGCAAAGAAAACTGAAGGTTGGCAATAATCACACATCTTTGACGACATACGTTCATCAATGGTCAATCAGTGGTCAAAAGTTACAGACAGTGGGGTTAACAAATGTTTCCAACACATCAGTTTAATTTTTTTGCTAAATACCATTATATGTATCTAGAAATGACTGCGCTCTACTCCCCTTCCCTGAATATGAAACAGTAAATTAACTGATCAATCCACTGGCAGAAAAGTGAGGATTTTCCGTTCTTGTCTTTGTGTTATACAAGTACAAACTAAATGTGTCTTGTTATGTCGTTAACATTGGTCAGACAAAGTGGAGATACCACTTTGGTAACTTGTGTCCCTACTGTGATGCTCTACCAACCCCACAAGAGTACATTTGAGTTGTGTTTTGAAAGCAGGAGCTGTGAGCTGTCTCACATACCACTCTGTTTTCTTTAGTCCCAGAGGAGAAATACCTGACACTGGAGGGCTTCCATAAATTTGCTGTCGACCGGGCCAAGCAAGACATCCGTAGCGTCTGGAGGGCAATTTTGGCTTGTGGTTATGATCTCCACTTTGAAAGGTGAGACTTGGGAGGCATACCCTAATAACCAGCACTCAGACTGCTGCAGCTCAAATACTGTCACATACACTAGCTCTGCGAGAACAGAACAGTGTGTCCAAACATTCTTGAAATACTAGATAGTGTAGATCAGTGGACGTTCCCCCACAGCTGAGTCCGATGAACTCGAGAACGCCTTCATTAACACCACCATTCATGTTCCAAATGTATTCTTTTTAATTCATTTCAAACTAGATGTTATTTAACTATTAATCATAAAAAGGTCAATATTATAGTGGATTTCACAATATTTTATATCATATCATGCAGTTAAACTGTCAATGTTGAGTTTGGTTTGATACATGGAATCCTTTTTGATTTCTAAGGTAGGGTATAAACCTAAAACCTTTGCGCCTTGATATTTATATGATATTTATTTTATGATATTACAATTCATGTCACAATTAATTTTTCTCACTGATTGAACTGTCTCGTGGTATATCTTTACATTGCTACCACCTGGGGTGGCAAAAGCTGGATGTTCCAACCGTTTGTTAGCCATTACTTTTATCTAACTATTTCATGCTCACTTGCTAAATAATTTTCATGCACTCTTAATTGTAATATCCCCTAAATGTATTGTTCTACCTCAGACCATATGTGGATGTATTTTAATCAAATCTTTAATTTTGTTTCCTCCCAATTTGCAAAATAAACTACTCTGTACCCCCTGAGGTACAAATACTCCTGGTCACTGATGTTTCATATTATTATAAGTGACTAAACATTATGGGAGGTCTGTATTTAACAGCAGTTGTCTTCTGTACTAGGTGCACGTGTATAGACACACGTCACGCCCAGAAGGCCTGTAGGAAGTGGGGCTTGGAAATGGACGTGGCATTGGTCCAGTACATCAACAGACTCTGCCGTCACCTGGCTATCACACCAGCCAGACTACACCCCCATGAAGTCTACCTGGACCCCAGTGATACTGCTGATCCTCGTGTGGCCTGCCTGCTCAGTAAGTAAACCACTTGTTTGTTACTGTCTGCGCAACAGGATGGTCAAAAAGGCCCAAACCCTGTTGTTCTCTTCCTCCTCTTTCAATAATAATGTTTGTATCCAATGCACATATTGTCATCTATGATTTAACATGCAGTTTATTAAAAAAATGATGTGTGTGTTTTCAGATGTCCCTGTGGAGAGCCTGCGCTTGCGCTTTGCTCTGTTGCAGTCCCTCAACAACACCCTGGAGAGTTTCTTCCTGCCGCTAGTAGAGCTGAGACAGACACAAACCTATGAGAACAGCATCGCAGCACTGTTATGTGAGGCCAAAGGTGAGCAGGATCTCAGAGCAGATGTAGCAAGTCAAGAAGACAAGTCTGTTTATTGACCTATTTAGGGAAATCTCTGAATTGGACTAAAACAAAGTGAATCTGCTCAGCTCATCTCCTGTCTCCACTGATTACAGGTCTAATCTTCTACGACACTAAGGTCACAGTAATGAACAGAGTCCTGAATGCCACAGTGCAGCGGACTGCTGATCATGCTGCCCCAGAGATTACACTGGACCCTCTAGAGATTGTGGGAGGTATGCATTCCTTTTGCTTGTTCTCATATTTATTGTTTCCCATTTTATGTAACTTGTACTGAATCTTTGCACATATCCTTTCTTTGTCTCTGGCATTTGTCCTTCAGGTGAGATCAGATCATCAGAGAACACATATTTCTGCCAGGCAGCGCGGCAGCTGTCTTGCGTGCCGTCTTCCCAGCTTTGTGTGAAATTGGCCAGTGGAGGAGACCCAACCTATGCTTTCAACATCCGCTTCACTGGAGAGGAAGTTCATGGCACAAGTCAGAATTTCTCCTTCACATCTTTTCCTGTACTGCCGGGCAGTCCTTGTACTTGTTCTTCTTTTCTTTTCTTTTTTTTTCAAACCTAACTCTAGCTTTGTTGAATCTGTCTCCAGGTGGCTCCTTCAGACATTTTCTATGGCAGGTGTGTAAGGAGTTACAGAGTTCTGCTCTCTCCCTGCTGCTCCCCTGCCCCAGTGCTGCAGCCAACCGTAACAAGGTAAGGTTTCTCGCAATCTGACAAGTTTTCAGTATGTCTTGTTTTTGACACTTTTGTTCTTCCCAACAAAGCATATATATCCTAAGAATCATATCTGGCTGGTTTCTGGTTAGTCACAGAGGCTGATGTATTAATCATTGTTGTTTCTTTTGCTTTCCTCAGGGGAAGTACATCCTGACACCCTGCCCTATCAGCTATGCAGAGGAACAGTTGTTGCATTTCTTTGGTCAGCTTCTGGGCATAGCCATCCGGGCAGATGTGCCACTTCCTCTGGACCTACTGGGCTCCTTTTGGAAGGGTCTGGTGGGCGAGTCCCTCGACACAGAGCAGGACCTGCAGGAAGCTGATGTGCTCACTTACAACTATGTAAAGAAGTTTGAAAATGTAAGGGACCTTTAGTATATACATCATGTCTTCCCCTGCTAATACCATTGTCCAAATTACTGTAACATGACCTCTGTTCTCTGCAGGTGAGTGATGAGACGGAGCTGGAGGCCCTGTGTGCTGAGATCTCCTCCCAGCACCATTCGGGAGAAAGCCCCGACTCTCCCAGCAGACCCTGCTGCACGTTCACCTACGTCACAATGACGGGCGAGGAGGTGGAGCTTTGTCAGGGAGGTCGCAGCCTCACTGTCAGGTAAACTGATGATTGTCTTCATTATCAATCCTTTCAAACTGCAGTTATCTACATACAAGATGACTTCCTCTTTTATATATTGTGTGCTTGTTTGTGTGTGTTAAGCTGGGAGAACAAGGATGTGTATGCGCGGGCCGTGCGGAGCCTTCGTCTGAGGGAGCTGCAGAACGTGGAGTGTATGACAGCAGTGCGCGCGGGGCTCGGCTCAATCATTCCCCTGCAGCTGCTCACCATGCTCATCCCCCTCGAGATGGAGCTGCGCACCTGCGGCCTGCCTTACATCAACCTGGAGTTCCTTAAGGTAATGAATTTATTTGAGTGTAATAAAGTGCCTGTTGAAATCTGTTTTATACTACATTACAAAGCAAGTGTAAACATTTCCCACCCCCACATATTATACGAACCTGTTCTAGACCAGTAAACTATAAATATTTCAGTGACAGCTGTAATTGTAGTGTGTAGTTTTTACACTTTCTGTTGATGTGGGAATAGGAGAGATACATTATAAAGTTGTTTCAACATTACAGTCAGTTTAAATGACAAACACCTTATTTTCGTACTGCTATGAATCAAATCTATTCAAACTATTGCCCCGCTCTGTCCCTCTGTAGGCTCACACCATGTACCAGGTGGGCCTGATGGAGACCGACCAGCACATCGAGTTCTTCTGGACCGCCCTGGAAATGTTCACTCAAGAGGAGCTCTGCAAGTTCATCAAGTTCGCCTGCAACCAGGAGCGCATACCATTCACCTGCCCCTGCAAGGACGGGGGTCCCGACACCGCCCATGTCCCCCCCTACCCCATGAAGATCGCTCCTCCTGATGGAGCTGCAGGTAATGGCTTACGAGGTTTCAACAGAGCCGTGATTGGACACAACGGCTGCTATCTCTGCGTGACGTTCTCCTCCGTGCTGTATGTGCACAAACTGCTGATAGTGATGGTCAAAGCAGCTCGTACTGTCTTACAACCTCAGGGAGACTTTGAACATGATGACATGATAGCTTGTGTTGGTAAAATAATAGGTTTGTATAACAGACATGTCAGGCAGTTTCATGTAGGTAGACACACTGTTAACATGTTTCTCATATCTTTCACACAAATGGGTTCTTTCCTAGATTCCTGAGTCACTGTTTAATATCACAGGCTAAAACAAACTACTAGGGTTCACCACAGATAAGATTAACACTACATTTTATCACCTACACAAGCTTATTATCACACACTTACTGCGCAGTTCCATGAAAAGCTCTAGTGGTAAACCTACGTAATAAGACTCTTTATCTATAAGAAGTACTAGGCGATTTTGTTATAATTCTTCCTGTTTTTCCTCCCTCCAGGTCAGCCAGATTCGCGCTACATTCGCGTGGAGACCTGTATGTTCATGGTGAAACTGCCCCAGTACACCTCTTTGGACGTGATGCTGGAGAAGCTGCGATACGCCATCCACTACCGCGAGGACCCTCTTAGCGGCTAAGAAGACTTGACAACCCAATGTTCCCAAGCGTGTATACCTTTCCCACCCACCCATCTTACTTTTGACCCCTGCCTCCCTTTCTTTCCCCGGACCCTCCTATGAGACAGACCACAGTCCTCGATGCTCTGATGCTCCAATTCAATTTTATTTCATTTTATTTGATATGAGTGGCTATTAATGCTTTGCATGTTCATCCCTGCTTTTTTTTTTTTTTTTTTTTTTTTTTTTTTTTTTTAGCATTTTACACAATACTACATGATTATTTTTGACACATATTTTTTGTGAAGAATTCAGGGAAGATAATCTGAACCAGCACTGACAGCGTTAACGAGTGTCTGTTCTGGTTGCACTGAGTTTGAGGATGGCATTGAAGTGAAACAACTGTGACACTGTTTTATTTATTCACCTTTTCCCCTCCCCCTATCTTTGACAGAGGGTTTAACAAGCTTCAGTCGAGTTCTGTGAATTTAACAACTTACTGGGATGGCTTCAGATCAGCACTTTACAGTTGCGAGTTCAATTCCTGATTTCCAAACCTTTCAGTATTTGAAAGTGTGGTCTCAGCTAAACCGGCTCTACTCTGAGATGCTGAACTTTTGCGTATCTGTGAAGGAAACAGACAAACTGTTACTCTCCTAATGCTTAACCTAGCTGCCTCCCTCTGTCTCTCCCTCCGTGGGGGTGATGTTCTGAAACATGCCTTTGCTGTAGGAGCCTCTCTCTAGAGGTTGATGCTGGTTCTGTGTGGAAAAAGAAAAAAGCCCAAATGATTTTCATAGAATTATCTGACTTTTGAGTCGGAGGTACGACTACTACTAGAAAAAGGAAACGTGTGACGCTGCCTATTTTTGACCGCGTCAGCTATGAGCAGGCAGAAGATGTGAACAAGTGCTGTACAGGATATTATGTAGTTTACTGCCTGTTTTAAGAAATATGAACTGCTAATGGACAAACTAACTTATGCCTATATAAACTGAATACATTTTATCCGAGTCTCCAAAAGAGAGGGTATTTAAGTCATGTAAAAAGTCATATTAATCTATTAGTTTATGAAATTGCTTTTTGGATTTATTTTTTTTGAATATCCGAGTAGCTTTGGCGGCATGGTAGGTCGGGTAGACTGGAGAGGCCTGCTGGTTCTGATAATACTGCATTTCAGGTCTGTGCAACCTGTGTTGTTTTGTGAAAATGGGAAGGAGATGATGTTCTCATGAGCTGCTCTCCCACATTGTTTGTGTGCTACTGCTACTGAATGTGCAACCCCCCCCTGCTCCCAAACATACACAATCTACACACACACACGCACACATATACAAACACACACACACACACACTGGGGGAGGGGTGGCGGATTATCTTGAGTTCTGCCTTTTCATAGTTTTCTTTAATGAGAGATCAGGATTCTGCTGTTTCTTTTGTCTTTTGTTCATTTTACCATAACCAAATGTTTAGCTGTGTAAAAATTAAATAGGAAAAAAATGTAAATAGACTGAAGTTATGTTTGATGGCAGTTTTTATTAATTGCTATTTCACTTCACCTTTTATTATTTTTGCTTTTGGTTTGCACTACTCTTCCAAGAAAAGATTCTAAAAATGAGCAAACTAGGTGATGTCTGTTGGATATCCGGTTTGTTGTGTTGTTATTTTTTATGAATTTTGGAAATACCAGTAATCTTATCACCTTTGTCTTGTACTCAGATGGATTCAATTTCTTCTACTCATGGTGAAACATGTTTTCTTGTGTGAGTAAAATCGCCATTTTACTTGGATAGAACTGAAAAACACAACAGAATTGATATTTGACGCATATTGGATTGTTGAATTGCTTGCGAGTTTCGGTTTTGGTTCAGTTCTTTTGAAGGGTGATTATACCGCTGCTAACAGGGACGCTCTCTCTTCTACTCCCTCCTCCTCCGGGGGAGATGATAAGGTTATAAAAAGGACATATCCATACAAAGAGGTGTTGCGATAAAAATGTGTGCTGTACATTTACTTGATATTTATTACAATTATTTATGGTTGCATTAACTTAACTTTTACTGTCTTACCTCTGCACATCAGAAACTTAACATATCTAAAAAGGATTATACAGATGTAAAGAATCAGATGGCATTTGAGATTTCTGTGTCACAATAAAGAAATGTCTTCATGTACAAACACTGTTTCATTGTCCTGCTTTTTGGCTTTTATATATACATATTCTACAGAAGCTCCGAGAGGCAAATAAGAAAAAACTAATCTGGTGATCCGTTTAAGTCTGATCTAAATAAAATCTCCTTAAGAACAGCTGAATAAAGTTCCTTAAGTTTCTTTTCGTCTGTGAGAACATACATTTTGTGTTTGTTTGTTGTTACATAACTTGCTAACAGACTTTATATATGCGTACCTTGTGTTTAGAGCAGAGGTTTTAAATAGCCTTGGGGCCACTGTCATAGGGGGGCCACTTGAATGTTCAAGTATTACAAGAAAGAATACAAATAGTGTTATTATTTTGATTATACATGAAAGGGTAGTTCTATGAGAAACTAGACTAGAAAAAAAAATCTTGCAGGACAGATTATATCATAGTTTCGGCATCATGTCGCAGGCTGAAGGGAATGGGATGAAGCGCCGTCTTGACAAAAAAAGAAAATCACGTCGAAACTTGTTTTCCACCTGTTTCACAGATGATGCACAAGACATTAAGGGACTTAATATATAAAATATAAATATTATCCACCAAAAACATGTTTTCTCTTAAATTGTATACACAGGAGAGAAAATCATTTATAGATATTGCTCATGTAAATGGTCAGTGTGGTTGGGAAAACAAGTTTACCGCACAAAAAAACACATTTGCATACTGACTGAACAGTTTACATGGTGAAGCGGACATGCCTGTTTCCATGCCTATTGATAAATGATGCCTGTGAAGTGTGTTTTGTCTCCTTTAGGACATGCATTTTATGTAAGGCCCCCAGTTACGATCTTGTTACGTCACCACCACTGCCTGTAAACCAGACACCAGTGAGTGCTGGGCCAGGCCAGTTCCAGCTGGATCTCCAGTCGTCCTCCTCACTGACTCACACTGTCCCCTCTGCTCCATTGTATGCTCCATTCAAAGGGAACCATCAACAATGATGGAAGGAAAAAAATCTGTTACATCAGCAAAAAAAATTGTCAGATATTTCTTTGTTACACTGCAAACTCAGTTGAGTTGGAGCACTTATGTTCTATGTATATACAGTACAGCTCCCCCAGCTGAGGTATGTCTCACTCTACTGCACAATAGTCAGAAAATTATTAAACATAAAAAACAAGTGACATCTTTATCGGTTGACTTTTCCTCATATTTTTAAGTAAAATTTCCCACTTTTAATACCAAAACTACATGGTTACCCTGGAGGAATTCTAGGAATGTCTCCAGCATGTTCACTTGTTGGTTTTAAAGGAGTCAATCAAATGTCCCTTCCACGCAGCTGTCACCCCTCTTTCTGACATAAGGGCCCTCCACCCCTGTTTTAATGACCCCTCCAACCAATGAGCAGCAAGGAAAAGTGCCACATCCCTAACAATCCAGCCAATTGGACGCTGGGAAGCTCAGTGTATTCAAAAGGCGTGGAGAGGTCTGCTGTGTTCATGCAACATGCAACTGACCCATAAACCGCTTCTGTAACAACCTAAAGGTCGATAAGGTAGTGGGACCACTTGACCCGGCTGGAATACACTGCAGTGTGATAAAATCTTCACACACTATATTAGGATATTTTATGCCACAGCAATCCCCCCCCCCAAAAAAAATTAAAAAAGCTGTGAGTTTCTGAAGGGACTGAATGTGGTCTTAATGTTATTGATGATGAAAATGGTTTGCCATGAATTTAGTGAGTGTGTTTTAACCAAAACTGGTTTGCACTGGTCAGGGGGTACATTATTAAAAAAAGTTTCAAAGAATTACTGGTACAAACTATAGGCCGACTAATACTGGATTTTTGAAGCTAATATCAATATTTGTGTGTATAAAAAATATATAAATAAATCAGCCAATAGTACCTTCTACATACATAACATTAACACACGATGTAAGCAAACAACTTTGATACAGATCTCTTGTCTATGGGGCAGGACATTTTACAATGTAAAACTCAGCATGGCAATGCTCTCTGGTTGACAAACTACTACAATTTAATGCCATTTATTCTGTATTTCTTCATTCTTGATTATATAATGATATATCTGCAAGAAGCTAATATCAGCTTGAGCTATTCCATTCACATATTGCATGACTGTTGGTTAAAGCTTATGTTGTGAGGAAGTGGTCCGATCTGTATACTTTATATAACATCTGCAGTAAAGGCAGTGAAATGATTCTTTAGACAGAATATTCAGAAATATAATTTATTATTTTTTAAATACATTCCAAAGTACAAAAGCAGAAGAACAACATACACATGCTTTTACAAAGCAAGTATGCTAAATACAAATGCAAGCCAAATGTCTAAGTGTACTTTTTATACATTTTTGTTTTCCTGAAAGAGGTCTCTCTAGACAAAAACTACCTCTGCCAGAGCAGCATCACAATTATAACATTTTCACAAGATAAAAAAAGAATTACACAGTCGGGAATGATTCGATCTATGGAGTATATGAATAATGGGGTTTATGGATTGAGACCAGCTGATAGAGGAACAGAAGAAAGGATCCGAGATGGTTGGCCACACTAGGAAATACCAAGCTGCTTTTTCAGCCTGCTTAGCTGCTCCATGCTGATGTTGTTTCCGCCGCACACCACAATGACCACCGGGCCCATGAGACGCTCTGCCAGCCTGCCCTCTTCCTGCAGCCTTTTGATAATGTCACTGTACACAGCTGCCAGGGCAGCGCCGCAGGCCGGCTCCACCAGGACCTTCTCGTCATCTGCAGAAAGAGGAGACACCAGGGGAGATCAGTCTCACAGCTGACTTTGTGGCATTTTAGATCAGTTGTGCATCTGTTCAGGCGCGTGTCGTACTCACCTACAAAGCGCTCCACAGCTTTCACAGCCTCCTGGTCTGTGACTACTTCTGAGAACACTGTGTGCTCGTTGACCAGTTTAAGCGTCTGAGCAGACACCCTCGTCAGGCCCAGTGTGGTTGCAACACTAGAGAGCAAAGAGACAGGTCAGCCTTTACCAGGGAAACATGTGGGATAATGTTATTATTTGGGTATAGTACTGTATCTAGGTCTTTGTACCTGGTAATTTCAGGTAGCGTGACCAGCTTCCCAGCTTTCATTGCTGCATTGAGGCTATGTGCTCCCAAGGTTTCCATGGCTACAATGGGCACGTCAGCCCAGCCGGCACGACGCAGTCCCTCCACCACTCCGTTCAGCAGGCCTCCGCCTCCCACCGACAGCACGATCGCTCCCGGCTTCTCCTTCAGGTCGTGCTCCAGCTCCTGCACCAGAGACGTGTGGCCTTCCCTGAACACACAAACACAAACGAAACCCGGTCAGCTTCCGTGAAATTCAACATTGATTTCAGCACTATGCAAAGAAGGAAACTCAGATTTGTTTTCTTTCTCCTTTCAGGCAATAAATCGTCCTTAAAATTTACTCTATAATACTGATCATAACACAGTGGGGAACTGTGACGTTCAATGTGTAAATGAATCATCTGACAACCACTCAAAGTTAGCACTGTGATAAGATTCTCAGTATCTGACATTACACCTCACCCAGCCCCTGAGACTGTTCTGTACAAATGACACTGCGTGATAAGACAGGTGTCGCTATCAGTCACTTGCACATTTTAAAACAATTCAATTTCCTTTAGAGAGGAGACTAATCACTTCTCCCTCTCTATCACCCGATGACAGATAGATCACCATGTACAGCACATACTAATGTAAGTGCTGTCAGACTGACTGAGACAGTCTTACCAGATGAGGGGATCGTCAAAGGGTGAGACGAAGATCCAGCCGGGGTTGTTTGCCACAAGCTGCTGTCCGTATTCAATGCTTTCATTCAGAGCCTAAAAAAAAGACACAGCTTTATTTAATCTGATGAATTAAAAAACAATTCTAATATCATTCGATTTCTGCATTTGTCCATGAATCTATAAAACCATTTTAATTGTTACTTTCAGTTGTAATTCTTATGCCAATTGTCTGCTTGTCTCTTCTCATCATTTCGCATTCTCAGTCATTTGGGTGAAGAAAACTATGAAAATAATAAAGATCATGCACAAAATTGAACCAGAATATGATGGATGTAGGAAACAATACATCAGATTAACTTACCTTGCCATGAATAACCACAGTGGCGCCCTCATCTTTCAGCCTCTCCACTGTTGGGTTTGGTGTAACACTTGGAACTACTATGGTCGCAGGTACCCCGAGCTGACGGGCAGAATAAGCTGCTGCCATGCCGGCGTTTCCTCCTGTTGGGGCCAAAAGCGACAAAGATTACACACTCAAACACACCAACAGAGGGCCGAGACAATGCTTCAATTGATTTTCTTTGTTGTTTCAGTGCTCACCTGAACAGCAGACAAACCGCTCACATCCTCGCTCGGCCCACTGCAGGGAAAAAGAGACATTAAACACATGTTAGCAGATCTCCCATCAGCCACACTGGAGCTGGTCCAAACTCAGACACACCTTCGCCATCACAAAGCTCCTTCAAACTGAACAGAACAGGAGAGCATTACTCACAGTTTTGCAGAGGTGTCCGATGCCCCTGATCTTAAAGGATCCTGTGGGCTGAGATGAATCCAGCTTGAGGTAAACAGAGGTCCCCGCTACTTTAGTCAGGGCCAGACTCTGCCTCACTGGAGTGGCCACATGAAGAGGCTGCTGGGTCTTCATCTCGCTGTGGAACAGACAAGCAGAGAAAAGTGTCAAATAATTCAAAACATCACTTTCCCCCACCTAAGAATGCTCTCTTTCCTGAAATATCACAGATTTCAACTCACCAGTCTCTGATGGATGGCAGGATAACGAGCTGTTCTGGATTACTGATGATCCCAAACCTCCTTATTCCTTTCACTCATGCATCTCAAGTGCATATATACCTACTTGTGCTGTGGGCTTGGCAAAGGAGGCCCACTTGCAGACCAATCAGGGTCAAGCACTCACTCATCAGACCCTCCCAGTGAGTGTGAGGAAGAGGAGCGCCGAGGATGGATGAAAAATCGCTTCCATTGAATATAATCCCATTTTCTTTGACAACAAACTCTTTTCCAGGATGAGTCATTGTCTGGTGTAAACTGAGATATCCAAAACAGGCAGCACTGGTGTGACTGGGAGCACTAAATGAGAAAAACCTATTTCCAACCTCCTGCTGTTATAATTAAGAGGGAATATTTTAATCCGTCCGCACCATTAAAAGCGTAGAAAAACACGTTTCCCATAACCACCATTACATAATTCCGCCCTCCTCTCGCCTCCTTTGTGACCCCCCCCCACGACATTTTCACCCGCCGTCCTTGGCATGTTCCTCTCCCCTCTAAAGGAATTGCGCACACCGCCGGCATTACCAAAAGAGTCGCTACTATTTTGGCTCCGATGCCCAACTACCAAAAGCGGCCTCAATGAAGAGCCTCCGGGCGGACGGCTCAAACCTGAATAATCCGGTGTTCCGACAGTGTGAGCTGCTGTCTCAGGGAAAGTGCTTTAAAATGAGGTAACTCAGTCTGCCAGTGGTTAATAGAATGTTTATAATGGGCGAGAAATAAAAATATAAGTGGCGGAATGTAACTAAGTACATTATTTACTCAAGTGAAAGTAACAGCTGCAGTTTTCAGGTACTTGAGTATTTCCATTTTCTGCTACGATTTTACATTTAAAAGAACATATTATATTATAACATATAATGACTTGTGCAGTATATATAAAGTGACCATCTACAACAATAAAATGCTGCATGTTTATGCATCAGCTATAATAATCCAATAATATATTACTACTTACTTTTACTACTTTCAAACTTTGTTGATAATGCATGTAGTTTTACCTGAGTACCAGTTTGTATTCAGTACTTTTACTTACTTGTAAGAGAGTACACTGATACTTAAATACTAATTTCTCCTACTACTAAATGTAGGTCAGTCTGTCATTCATTCTGTCAGATGGGAAAAACAACAACCAAGAGCTTCATCAAACAAGCTTCCTTGAGTTCAGGCACATTAATATTGCTGATTTAATATTCTGAAGCTTGTACAACCTGCTCTGGTAATAGTGTACTTGAATATGGCCATAGTAATAGAGCAACATTATACAATGCAGATGTACAGGTATATTGTAGATAAAGTGAAAATAAAGGAGGGTCTATGCAGTAACTAACTTGTAGTTCAGTAGCTCTATATCAAATTTCAGGCTGGCCAGGTCCAAGAGGAGCTGTTACAGTAACATAAACTTTACATGTAGTGTCTGAGGAGTGCAGTGGGTCAGTGCTCATCACTGTGAAGTTCTTTCAGTTAAATATGTGCTGGATCTTCATCCTTTTCTGTTCAGAGATTATAATGTCACAGTTTCACTCTATTGTTCAGGCGCACTGTTAGAAACAAGGTGACACAAACACAAGAACTGTGTTTCCATTTGCACAAGAGAAAATGCCTGCTTCAAAAATACCCCCCCCCACTCAAGAGGCAAAACCCATCATTTTCAAAACATGTCACATGAAATCATCAAGTTCAAACATTTAGTGCAATCATTTAGTGGTGGTATGAAGCTTTAACTTTAAATATCTATTTTCACCAAAGTGGAGAAAGCCCTTCAGAAACTAGTTTGGCATTCAAGGTGTATCTACTTTGATTTTTACATTTGCAATCAGTGTAACATGTTGAAAACTCACATGGCAACACACAAGAGAAATATTTTCACATTATTAGTATTATATTTTCTTCAATCTTAAATCACAACATCTTAAACTGCACCACCTATTTTAAAAGTCAAACTTAATTTAAATGAACCTTTGTATGTACTCAGAAATATGCAACAGTCAAGCTCTTCAGTAACTCAGGAAATGTGTGACATGTGACGGAAACTACACAACTACAGAGACATTTTGACTTATCAGAGCAGGAAAAGCACAGGTGGAGCCTATTACATGAACAATTCCATTTAAATGTCACATTAAAATCCAGCCAGCCCACATTTAGGGTCAGGGTCCTAAATTGGGAACAACTAAATACAAAGCAGCCATTATTAATACTTTTAATTACACCTGTGCTTTTCCTGCCAATCATGCCAACAATGTTGTGTGCTGTGAAAAAGGCTTATTGCAAGTATGCAGGGAATTACATAACCACTGCTGTCAAGCCCAAACACTATACTCAGTAAAGGATTGTAACGCCATCTGCTGGTGAAGAGCTGCACATAAGACTAAAATTATCTTTGAGGTTCTGGTTTTACATGACAGATGTTAAAACCACTTTAGAGTCTTAAGTCTTGAGCACTAGAAACAGTTATTTATTGATGCATATCTGCAGTTACCATTGAGACTGAAACTGATTTAGGAAAAATACTGAACAAAAATAACTTGAAATACCTGCAGAGGTGTATTTCTGTACACTGTGGGTGTAATCAAAGTACACACAGGAAGGGAAGGGATGCAATAAATCTTAAAGCTGTTTATGGACATCAGGTAAAAAATTCAAAGTTGCATTGTGATGATTTACAAAACAAAAACAAAGAATATAATATCCAACATTCAGATTTATTCAGGTACTTGTTGCCAAGCCAAATAATTTCCAGATTCTCTTCAGCCGGCTGTTTTTTTTACTCTGGCAGGTGGACCTTTCGTCAGGTGACCCATCAGATGTCTCCCCAGCAGTAATGGCTGCACCTTAAGATAAGATCTGGCTGATTACATATAAGGCACTTCATGACCTTGCCCCCAGTTACATTTCAGTTCTCCTTGTTCCTCATTCCACTTCGCTCCTCAAATCTCGGCCTTTTATCCGTTCCCCGCTCTAACTGCAAAACTAAAGGTGACCGTGCCTTTGCTGTTTTAGCCCAAACACTGTGGAACAGTCTTCCCCACTCACTCAGATTTGTTGAATCCTCTATTGGCAAGACTTTTTACAGATCTGTCATCTTTATTTTTTAATTTATTCTTTACCTCTTGATTTATTCTTCCATATGTTTGTATTTATATGTTCCCTATGTATGTATATGATTGTGTATGTTTATGTATGTAAACATTTATATGTGTAAATGCATATATATATATATATGTTTATATTTCTCTGTTTGTTTTTGAAGCACTTTGCAACTGTGCTATATAAATAAAGCTTTACTTACCTTGTCTCCTCAGCAGGACTGGCTGCACCTTGGCTATTTTCTTCTTCACCTGAGTCTGTAGCATCTACAAATCCAGCTGTTGCTGCTCCATCATTTGAGTGAGGCGTGTTTGTAGTGCTATCACAGGAGCAAGGAGTGGCTGATGCTTGTGCCATTTGTATCAGGAGTGGCTGAAGGCATTTCACCACTGATATCTTCATTAGCCTGGACGTCAGGAGGAAGCTCCTATTCTGGGTCATCCATTGGACAGACAGGCATTTTGTCAAATGTCTTGTCCACACTGAATAAAACATGACAGTCAATTAATAAATCAGTCAAGTCAAGAATACAAATGAGTCCATTCAACTAATCATGTGTCGGTCCGACCGTATTGATTCCAACCCACAGCCACTCGCTGGTGTCCCACTCAGCCTCCAGGAGGGCCATTGTGATGAAAGGGTTCTTGAGAGCCTTCTGAGGAGTGATCCTCTTCTCGTGGTCCATATCTAGAAGGCCCTTCAGGAGGCTTGCAAATGCTCTTTGATCCTCCAGCTCAATGGATTCCTGCATCTCTGGGTAGAGTTGGATTGGAAATTGGTCTGAATTCATTCTTAACTCATGAAATAGACCACTTACTGTTATCAGGTTATTCCTTTGAGGTCTACTGGAGAAAAATATATAAGTCAGATACTAAGAATCTGAAAACACAAGTTACAGACACAGAGGTACATTAGCATTCATCGTGCAGTGAAACAGTTCCAAACTCTGGTTAAAGGTTATATATATATGAGATTTAGAACAGTAATATTTCATATTTGCTATGTGAAGATATAGTGGAGCAATGGTGTCCTGAGCAGATAATGACAAGACACTCCCTCTGCCTGTGTTGCTATTGCAGCCTGTCTGTGGTTTGTTTACATAGCCAGTCTGTTACGTGTGCAGCTGAGTAGAGCAACTGAAGCAGCTGTTTCTCTCGTCAACGTCGGCAAATTATTATATTTATAAGTGGAAAGACTACAAAGACATTTTCTGTGAGTTTTATTTTTCTTCTGTCTACTTTGAATGAAGTTACACTGATATACACGGTAAAAATGTCTGGCTGTTTATGGTTAAACAAAAGCTCTATCCCTGTAGGACCCTGTCCTTAATGAGTTAGTGGCAAAAACAAGCTTTTAGTGGACGTACTTTGATGGACACATTGGTCCCCAAGGATTAGCTGCTGCCATTGCAGCCCTTTTCACATCTAACTCTGTGAATGAAGGGTTTATTTTGATCAAACCAGTGTTGGTGACTGTTGGAAGGACATTTTTGGTGAGTTTGACTTTGTTTCTGTCCCATGGTTTTGCTCTGAGACAATACTCTTGTGCAGTGGTTTTCAAACTGACCAAGAAAACCATGGGTTGTAGGGGGTCACCAAAAAAAGGAGGAATATTTTAACTATAATCACATTTTTTGGAAGTTGGAACTTCGAGGGAAGAAATACGTTGGTCGTTTTGTTTGACTGTACCCAGTTTTATCGTTAACTGACTATGAAGACTTCATTATCTTCAAAAATGACTCAGAGAGGATTCCTTAACAAAATTATCTCAGACTGGGGGTCTAATGAGCCTCAGTGGGGGGTCCTTGAAATGAAAAGGTCTGGGAAGCCCTGCTCTAGTGCAATTTTTTTAATATAACCTTTAAAGGTCCAGACAGTAACATTTAATAGGATCTATTGGCAAAAATGGAATATAATAATATTCACAGGTATGAATTCATACGTGTATAATCACCTAAATATAGGAATCGTTGTGCTTTTGCTACCTTACAGTGAGCCTTGTATATCTACAGACACCGTGGGTCACCTTCCATGGAGCCCGCCATGTTACACTGCCATGTTTCTACAGTAGCTTAGTACAGACTTAACCAAACAACGGGTCCAGATAGGGGCGTTTAGCAGCCACGGTAGGTTCCCCTTCATGGTTGGAAGGGGAGGGTGAAACGAAGGAGTTCCAATGTGCATCTACACCGCTAGATGTAACTAAATCCTACACACTGGACCTTTAAAATAGAAAATTGTTTTATTATGTGACTCAAATGATGCTATATCTCAGTAATAATAATAGAGCTAAATTAATAAACCATTAAGGGAAACATAGAGGCCAAAAAAAATATCTTCTAATATGTTGCTAACGTTTCTCCACTGTAAGGGCACATTAGAGGGCAATTGAGCACACTGGGCCACCAATAGGTTAGGTGCCCCTCTTTCATCTTCACCCCTGCCCTTACAAAGTCTATGACCGGCTCTGACCTTGAACGTTAGCTCATATTTACTTTGAATACCACTTTATAAATAGTTTGTAACACTGTTAAAAGCCAAAAAAAAAAAAAAAAAAAAAAAAAGCATAAGCGACACTTCATCCATTAATTGTACTTTTCTTTTCCTGACTCAGACTCCCACAGACCTTCATGCCTCCCTCCGCACAGCGCTCACAAATCCGCTATGGCAACAGGGGAAAAAAGACAAGAAAAAAAAAGGAAAAGATTTGACAACATGGCGCACTTTCCCTGAGAAAAGTTTCTCCTGAACGCCACACAGCTCAGTCTTTGCGGAATTTCCTCGCAGTTTGTCGACACTTGCGCTCCGACGTGGACTCGTTGGCCGACTTTTGGACTCCTCTTCATGCACAAACCCCCTCGGATAAGAAGTGAAGAAGGAGTGTGATGGGATGAGAGCGATAACCCGTCTCACAAACCAAAGCAGTCAGACAGGATGGAGAAGCAAGCGACTCTGAAAGAAAAGGTAAATAGATTAAAAAGCAACTTTCTTTATACACTGTCACACGAGCTGCCATTTTTTTGGTAGTCGGCACTTTCTTGCCACCCCAACTCCCCCCCAGAATAACGCTTTTTACCTCGCGTCCTGGACAGGAAATACCAAATGGCCATTCCTGCGAAAGCCTCGTAAAAAGACCTCTATCGATTTTCCAGTCATGCATACTGTACTGTGCTGCACAGTGGATGTGTGAGCGCTCCTGCAGCAGACAATAGTCCACATGAATGCGATATAAATGGCAAAGGAAGATCATGCACATTACAAAATAGACTGTAAACCCAAACCACATTTTTTTTTTTTTTTTTTTTTTTTGGTTATTGCATGAACTGAGATTGCACTGCCAAGATCCCACAGTGGCAGTAGGTTTGTGTGTATTGCCATGAGTAAATCCACATAATTCCCCCAACTGAAACTGAAAATATGCAGTCCAGAGTCAGTCCACACTATATTTGCCTTTTGGGTTAATTGCTGTCTCTTTGTCTTCTTATGGTTAAGTTGTCAGGGTGTCCTCTGTATTGGTGCAAGCTCTTATTATCTCTCCCTCTCCACCCTTCCTGCCCAGTGCTGCCCACATACAGTAGGCAGCCCCCCTCCCAGTATGTTGTACCAGATGAGACAACACTCACAGTTGACCTTCCTGTAAAATTACTTTTCTCCCTGGTCCCCGCTAATCAGCTGAAATCGGCCGGTGGAGTGTGTTTCAAGGGGAAAAACCTGCATGCACTCGGGCCCTGGAAGCACAGATCAATAATAGATGCTTCTCCTGACATTTCTTTGGGGTGCAAGCCTTTGAATGTCATCATGCGTGACAGTGCTGTCAGTCGCTGTGCTCCCTCAGCCTGTTTGTATGTATTTCTGAGAGGTGGGTTGCCTCTCTGTGGGACTTAGAGCAATAAACCCAGCAGTATGCTCTTGTTATAAAACCCCCGTTGCACACATCCCACTGGTTTACTGGTGATGTTGCAGCATAATTGATCTTTTACCTATTGAATTGGCTATTTGAGGTACAATATAAAAGACACTTTAAAGGTCCAGTGTGTAACATTGTGGAGGATCTACTGGCAGAAATGGAATATAATATCCATAGGAATGTTTTCATTAGTGTATAATAACCTGAATATAGGAACTGCTGTGTTTTCGTTACCTTAGAATGAGCTGTTTTTATCTTCAGACGCCACAGGTCGCCTTCCATGGAGTCCGCCATTTTGAAGCGCCATGTTTCTACAGTAGCCCTGAACCGACAAACCAAACACTGGCCTTAGATAGGGCCTTTCGCATTTTTTTTTACGAGTTTTGCGGTCACTTACAAACTTCACAACCCTTCCTCATTCAGAGGTCGTCAAATACAGACGCCAGCGGTGCTTAGTTAGTGGCAGTCTCAAGCTTCACCACTAGATGCCACTAAATCCTGCACACTAGTCCTTTAAAGTCCTGCAAGAGTAAAGCAGGAATTCATTTGTTTTGTTGTCATATTGTAGAAAACATATTTTTCTGGTTATAATACAAGAAAAGATGAAGGTCAAAGGGTGCAAGAAAACAACTGATTGGAACTGCTCTGTAACTTGATGTTGAATCTACTTGATACCCAAAGCCCTCTTGTCTGCTTCTTCTACTCCCTGCGCCTCTGGAAGTAATTACCAAGCCTGCCTTATCCCAGAATTCAGTCTGAGGAGGTGTGGTGAGAAAGAGGTATAATGGAAGCTGGCCTTAAAAACATGCAACCCGAGATGAATTTCATGATTCAGTAATACTCACCAAACCGTCCCTGTTAAATGGATGCAGCACTCATCTAATCAATCAGACTGTATTGGTTGGATGCAGTTGCAGTGAGACTTGAGTCAATATGATAATTGGTCTCGCATTCTAATGGTTTGCCTGCCAGTTGGTTCGGGAAGGTTTCATGTTGAATATGAATGGGAACAATAATAGATTTGGTCCTGCATTAATGCCGGTGGCCTTGCTCCAAGGCAGGTATTATCTTGTGGTGGTAGATTTATCAGTGTAATGAAGATGTCTTTATTAGGTTCAGCTTGCATTATTGTGTGTCTAAAAACTGCTGAATAGAAGATATACAGAAATAAATCTTTATTCAGACAGAACAACATATCCTGGATTATATTGGAAACCTTGTTTTTAATTTCAGGTCATGTCACAGTATACCCTAAAAGATAGATTGATTGTTCATTTAGTGTGTTTTAAGTCTGCCACTAATGTTCATTTTCATTGCTGATTAATCTGTCGATCATTTTCTCAATTCATCAATTAGTTGTTTGATCACTGTTTCCCAAAACCCAAGATGACATCGTCAAATGTCTTTTTTTGTCTGCAAACCAAAGATATTCAGTTAACTGTCATAGAGGGCTAAAGAAAATACTCATTTGAGAAGCTAATATCAGAAAATTTAGACATTTTTCCTTAAAAAATGACTCACAGTGATTAATTGATTATTAAAACTGTTGTCAACTAATCGATTAATTGCTGCAGCTCTGTTTTTTTTTATATTTCAGAATGGGATTTTTAGTGGACTTCCTATGCTGTCTATCTTAGTGTGCCTGTACATAAATATGTAGTTCATTGGTTATATGAGGCCACTTTATATGGATCACGTCCTCCCTGGACATTGACATTGGCTTGTCTTAACTGGAGAAAGCACAGGTGAAACAAACATTGTCTCCCTTCATTGTTCCAGAAAGCCACACCACAGAGCCATCGTGCACCTGGGTCCTGGAGCTGGCCAAACTAAATGGAGTTCAGCCATTATTAATGAACATTATTAATGAACGATTTGTTGCTATGACATGCAAAATGTGTTTGGTGAAAAATGTCTCTTCAGCTCAAAGGACTTAAGTGTATTTTTTCATTGCTTCTGTGGGAGAAAATGAGTCGCTCTGTCATACAGACGTTGCATGTTCACACATTAACATTCCTTCCTATTTTAGCTGCATGTTCTCTTCTTCTACTTCTCTATATTCAGTTTGTTACTGAGTTCCTTGCACAAGCACATTCCTGTCAGTTAAGCGTTATATTTTTCAAGTAGACTGATTATAGCTCTCTCACTCCTCTCTGTCTATTTCCCCAGCTTTCAATCTTCGGTTCACGGACGGCGTGCAGACCTATCCGGTGTGTTTCTGGAGACGGAGGGGTCAGGTATGGTCTCAGCAAAGCAGAGTTCATGGAGAAAGTGCAGCAGAGCAATGAGGCGTGTCAGCGTGGTGACTTTCAGGCGGCTGTTCAGCTGTACACTAATGCCTTGCAAGCTGACCCACAGAACTGCATCCTGTATAGTAACCGTTCAGCAGCACTTCTCAAACTGGGACAACACCAGGCGGCACTGGAGGATGCTGAAAAAGCTTGTGAGCTAAATCCCAAGTGGCCCAAGGTAAGTGCACCCAGCAGCTTAAACTATGAATAACCTTAAACTGTAGATCTTTTGTTGCAACAGTGGGACGACAAAGGGAAGAGTTATCTGCTCTCCTCAAGTGCACCAAGTGTCGTTGCCAGGAATCGTAAATCTCAAATCTAATTTGGAGGATCTGATGTCCAAATCAGTCTAACTTGAAATGTAATTATCAGGCTTAGCAGCATGTTTAATAAAAAAGGATAATTTAGGTAGGGATGTGCATCACCATCACTGAGGCCAATGCGATATGCATCTCGATGTATCACCAAGCACCTATTGTGATATGATTCACCACTAGTGCGATACAGAGCGATTTGATTCCAACATAATGCGATTCAGTGTCACACGATGGGATGCAAAGGATGCTATGCAATTCAGTATAGTACAGATAGTTTGATTTCTTTGGTTCTTCTTGAGAGGAGGAATCAGTCTCAATATAAAACGACTGGTCATATAATATAGCTCACATTTTTAAATAATAAAGGCATAGGGCCTCTTACAGTATATATAAATAAATCAGATTTTACTGAGGCAAAGATGTTAGAAACTTGAGTTCATCCCAAATTGAATCTGCATCTCATGATTGCATCTTGAACATTTATACAGGTGAATCTGTGAAATGTATAATCTAATAGTATATGATAATAGTACAGTAGCTAATACGGTAGTACTGTAGTTACATTACCATTTGTCTCACAACAATTAGATGATTTATCTTCAGTTCAAAGCGTTTCAAATTCTGATCACATTTTCACTCCTCAGTTGCATTCTTGTGGCCGTTGATCAATACAAAGTTTTTTCTGGGGTCTTGTGTTTGATCTTGTCTGGGCCATGTGGACTAACCTGCGATAGATTTCACATTACTCAGCCGCAGAGATCACTCGGAGACCAATTCCTCTCAGTGATAGAAATGCATTGATTTCATGATTTAGCATGGAGAGATACTTTTGTCTTTCGAGAGAGAGATTGATGATAATGTGGTAGAGTGGTATTGATGATAATTTGTCGCTACCAATGATGCATCAGCGGCCACCTCTTCTTTGATCTGAGGTCGTGTATCTTCGGATGCTCAGGTAGGTTTCCTCTACTGCAGAAATGTGTCATTGCAGTGAGACCTGTCACTTTTTATCACATTGATAATGTTGTGTGCTTGCTGCACTGTGCCGTAGTACATGTACTTTTCAATAGTAAAATAATAGTACATCTCTCATGAATCAGCGCCTGTTACACATCTAGTCCTTCAAGCACTTGCTGTTGACTGTAGTTCTTCATATCTTTGCTGTTATGAATATACAGTTGCTGTACAGCTGTTAATTTAGATGTGTTTCAGCACCATGCTTTTTCTGTCACTGTCACAAGATGACCAATTTTGCAGTCTCCCCTCCATGTTGTGTCTTCTCTCTCCGCAGCATTAACACAGAGCACATCTTGTTCATTCTGGTGAAATTTCATAACCCTCTGAGGCCAGTGAGACCAAACTATAATTGAAAATCACTGCCAAAATTATTCTCCTTTCTCCTCTTTATATGCTATCCAAGTACAATGAACTCTTTGTGGTCTGACTGGGGGGATGGTTGGCTTAATCTAAGCAGTGTAGCTCTGCTCATTCTTGGATTTACTGCCTGACAGCTTTGACTCTCGTGCTGAAGATCATGTTAGCAGACTCTGTCGATGTATTGCCTGACCCTTGTGTTTTACTTTGTAACAAGAGACAAAGGGATTAATACGTCTGTGGCTTTGACAATTATACAGAG